TGCGCAGCTGCCTCTTCCCTGCTCTGGAGAAGGCGGGGCTCCCTTCGTCTGAGGGTCTCCCGTGGCGAGCGGGCGCGCATGCTGTGTCCCTGTTTAATGCTCTCTCAGCGATTAGCTCGTCTCTTTCCCCTCGACCCTGAGGACGGGTTTTGGTTTTTGTCATCGTCCCTCAACACCCCAACTCTGCGTGCTGTGGAGTCCCCCGTGTGCTGGCCACGATGTCACCTGCTTCTTTTACTGTCTGAAGCTGCTAAATCATCGGTTCTGGAGTTTCTCCCGCACCCCTGGACTCGGCAGCTTCTCAGAGAAGAGCCCATGTGCCACTCAGAGGGGCCATGCCAGCCCGGGATGCTGTTACTCTTGAAAAGAAAAGCGACCCGCTCAGTCCCCAAGGACGCTGGCAGGTGTGTGTGCCGTCACCTGCAGCCCAGCCAGAAAGCTGCCCGTGGGCCTCCCTCGAACACCAGGCTGAGCACCAGGCACTTGAAGGCCGGGTGCGGGGGTGGCCAACAGGACTTCCCCTTCCTGACTTAGCGGCAGCCCCACTGCTCCCCAGCCTGCCGGGCTGTGCGGGCCCCGCCCCAGGCTCCACCCCACATCCTGTCTTCTCCTCGTCTGTGTTTGGAAAATGCATCATTTTCTAACGTACGTGGTTGTCAGATGGGTGACAGGTGTACGTGGCAAGATGCAAAACGGGTAAAGCTGACCCGGGAAAACATCGCCGCCCCCCCCCACCCAGGTCCTCCCCAGAGGCAGCCCGGGAGCCCGTCCCGCCCCGGGGAGGGACGGGCCACAAGCACAGAGACTGGGGTGGACGGCAGCCTCCAGAAGCAGCTGTGGGCCCTTTCGCCTCAGCCACAGAGCCCCCCGCCCCCAGGAGGCGGCTCAGCGTCTGTGGGGACAGGTGTCCGTGCCCCGGTGCCCAGGCCCGGGTGCGGGGGTTGTGTAACGGGCACAGGGTGGGAGCAGGTGCAACTAAGGCCGCAGGCGCTGAGGCGGGGAGGGCCCCACGGAGCCGCAGGAGCAGCCGAGAGCCGAGCAATCCCTGCAGCGTCTCCGGAGCCGGAGGGGAGTCGGAGAGACCGTGTGAAGGGCCCGAGTGTGTCTCTTCTGACGTCTCCGCTGGAGCAAGGGCGGGAGCACAGTGGGGATGAGCCGGTTGACGACACCTCGATGTCGGCGTGTGACCCCGAGCAGAGGACGGCACCCGCATGAAGCCCCCGCGGAGCTGCCCAGTGAGACGGCAAAAGCCTGGGGTTTGGAGCTGCTGCGTTTGTCCCCATTTGCTGAGCAGCAGCCGTGGGAAATCCAGGCAGTACGACTGCCCTGCGGCTCTCAAACCCTGGCCCCATGCGCACAGGCCCACGTGCTTTCCAGTCTTTTGTTGCTAAGCTTTGTTCCCTGGCTGGTGTGGCTCAGTGGACTGAGTGCCGGCCTGAGAACCAAAGGGTCACCGGTTCGATTCCCAGTCAGGGCACAGGACTGGGTTGCGGCCAGGCCCCCAGTGGGGGGTGTGAGACAGACAGACGACCACATGTGGGTGTTTCTCTCCCTCCCTGTCTCTCCCTCCCTTCCCCTCTCTGTCCCGGCAGAAAGCCCCCCGTGGGCCCTTTGTCTCGGGCCCGAGCACAGAGAGGGGGCCCGGCCAGCGTCCGTGGGCTGGGGGGACGGAAGGAGGGGTGGGGGTCGAAGACGCACAGCACACACTACACTGGACCTGGAGGCTGGCTCGGCAGGAGTGGGGCCAGAACGAATTTTCCTCCGGGACGACTTCGTCTGTGAAGGGGTTGCCTGCCCTTCACCCAGACGGGACCGCGGTTCCCTCACTGACCCAGGGAACCGCCTCCTTTTCTTCCACGAGAAGGCGGCGCCGGCCTTTAGAAGCTGAATTGATGGGGAAAGATTCTGTCTTTTCAAAATAAATTCAGCCCTTGTCAGTGCTCTTGAAACTGACGTGAGAGCTGAAATGATTAGCGACCCAGGCACGGCTGCCGTGGCTGTCACATCTCTGTCCTGTGGCCTTTCAAAGTTGTCATTGTCCTCAGACTCTAACAATGCCCACCCGCCATCAGATAGGTGTTAAAAGCCCTCATTTTTAAAAAGAAAGTGGACGGGGTCAGGGCACGAGTGGAGGGGCATCTGTGGGGAGGGGGCCTTGCAGGGGTTGGCTCTGAGTTATCTGGGGGGATGGAGAGTTCAAGGCCAACATCAGTGAAACAGCAGCCTCTGGAGACCAAGGGTCCCCCTGGGGCCGGGCCACCTTGAGCCGAGAAGCTGAGACAGAGTCCCCATCACTGTGGCCACACAGTCACCCCTGAGAGCTGCTCCCCCACTGAGGACAGAGCCCCCTGTCTCCAGCAGGGCCCCTGGTCAGAGAGAATCCAGCCCCTCACCCCCAGCAGGGACACCCCTGCCAGGGGAAGGGCTCCCTGCAAACTGGCCCACAGGCTCCCTGGGCGGGGAGGGCAGAGGGGCTGGGTGGGTCAGTGCCAGCAGGGAAAACTGAGTGGGACCCCCACTCTCAGGGAAGGCAAGGGAGTGGGGTCACCTGTGTAGAGTACAAAGCCTGGCACTCCACTAAGCATAGTGGACCAGTTACCCAGCATTCCTGTGCCTCAGTTTCCCCAGCACAAAGGGAATAATAATGGCCGCTTGCACAGAATAACCAGGAGACCCTCCTCTGGGCTTGGTCCTGGCAGCCACCATTTGCCTGCTGGACAAAGGTCCTTCCAGCAGGTCCTGGCCCTGATGACAAGGGCCACACATCCCACTACAGGCTGGTCTCCCCCAAGAAACTGGAAAATTAAACGGTGATGAACAGCAGCTCGGCCGGCACCCCGCCCCGCCCACCAGGAGACAACTTGAGAAGCACCCTGGAGGCAGCTAGGCCGCATCCCCCTCCAGGCCCCACCCCAGACTGGCCTAGCGGAGCAGGGGCTGCGACTGTGCTGACCCGTGTGTGCACATGCAGGCACACGCGTCTCCACTGGTGCGGGGGCTCCTGGTGAGGCCGGACCCTGCGCCCCTCCTCTTCTCCGCCCCACCCCCAGGACCAGCGTGCGCTCCAGGGCAGCATTGCAGCGCAGCGCAGCTTCTCACGGCTTCTCACGGCAGACGAGGCCCAAAGACTCTGCCCACCGACGTAGCGGGTGGCGGAGTCGATCCGTGTGCCCCCTCCCCTGGGGGTCTTCTGCATGCCCAGACCAACCCTGGAGATCCTGGGGCTGAGGCCCGCCTCCTCGGCCTTTGCAGAGGAGATACCCACTTCCTCTGCAAACCCTGAGTGCCCGGTGGTGGCAGGGCCGTCCTGTCCCTCCCTCACACAGCTCACTTCAGCGAGAGGCAGGCGGGACATGCTCCACTGGGCGGGCCCCAGGTTGGGACAAATGTAGCTGCCGACCAGAAGGGAATTCTGGCAGATCTAGGGGCAGGATCATCAGATAAAATACAGTGTGCCCAGTTAAATCTGAACTTTAAATAATGAGTAATTTTTGATATACGCACATATCCTTTGGGATGTACTTAAACTGCAAAGTCATTCGTGGTTTTTCTGAAATTCAAGTCTAACTGTTGTTAGAGCTGGCAACCCCCACACTGGTCAGGAGTGACCAGCAGCTGAGCCCAGCATTTCAGGGCCACCCACCTCCCCTGGGCCCAGCTGAGCCTTGCAGGGGTTGTGGAGAGGACCGTAATAGTGCCAGGACAGGGCACTGTGAGGCTTGACAGAGCTGGCCACGCAGCGGCACTCCCCGGCGGGACAGACATCCCCAAGGTCGTTGCAGCAATGCTGCATATGTCCCTTCTGAACTGGACTTTCTTTTCGAGATGCCTCGACTGGCAACTTTTGAGTGAGCCAGGTCACCAGGAAACAGGCCCTCCTTTGGTTCCTGCCTGCACATTTGTGAACAGCCCTAGCGTGGGTCCAGTGGGTGGGAGACGCCCCCTGGAGGTAGGACGTGTGGACTGCAAGCCCCAGCTGGTGCCGAAGCAGAAGTCTTGCCACCCCAGCTGGTGGTGCTAGGTGAGTCCTCCTGCTCCTGGGAGAGGAGGTTCTCCACCGGAAAAAGGCAAGGTTAAGGTGAAAGTGGCCGAGGAGCAGGGACCCCAAGGTGTCCAGGGCACGGTAAGATTAACGACGGAAAGGGCCGCCCTCTGCAGGGCCCTGACTGAGGGAGGGGCCTGGGTTAAGAGGCCAAGGTTCATTTGGACCTTGCAGCCTCTGCTGAACCAAGTTCCCCTCTCTGGGTCAGGGCCGGGCACGGGCCCATCAGAACGCCCAGCCACCTCGGGCTCCCATGGCAGCTGGTGGCCTTGCACCACTGCAGAATCCTCTCTGGGCCATCTGTCCTCCTGGAATGGAGGGGGGTGGACTGGCATCACCGGCAGCCCCCTGCACAGATGGCAAGCCGAGATTCAAGCCCCAGCCAGGTGACCCGTCTTCGAGTGCACCTGGCGGTCCCAGCAGGAGAGGCTGACCAACCCCTGCACCGGCCAGGGGACAGCGCTCAGCTGTGCGGCTCCAGCCGTTTACTATGAAGGCCAGCTGTGTTCGTGGCACCTGAGCAGATGCTGCAGACAGCCCTCCCTGGGAATGCATCCTGATTGATCCCAGGCACGGAGGAGGAAATTGAGGCCTTGCCCGACTCACACAGCTTTCAGACCGCTAAGGAGGGGACCTGGAGCCCAACTCCAGAGCCAACACTCGGAAGGTGAACCAAGCTCTACCCGCGGGGCCCGGGCTAGAGGTCCAAGGGGGCGAGGCCTGGCGGGAAGAGGGCGGGGACGGGAGGGGCAGGAGGAGCAGGAGGCCCGGGCGACTTTGATTGGGTGCTGCTTTGAGCTCCTCACTGGGCTGTCTCACAGTCCATGGCCCCACCTTGGCCCCGCCCCTGAACAAGACCCCGCCCAGGTCCCACCCCGCCGCGTGCGGGGAGCTGACCCGCGGAGAACCTCCGCCTGGCCCCGCCCCTGCCCTGCCCGGGCCACGCCCCTCTGAGAACTGCAGTAACTCGTGCGGGGGCCTTGCCCACGCCGCAGTCCGGCTTAACATCCCGGCGATTCCTTCGTGGGTCACCCAGAGGCCCGAGGTCCCGGCGTCTGGGCCCCGGTCCCTCCCCGGTGCATGGGAGCCCCTCTGTGCAGCGCTGAGGCCAGAAGTCGGCCAGAAGCAAACGAAGACCACAGTTGCAGAATTGACAGCAGCTTATTCTCGTTCTTCTTAACTGCTTTATTGAGGTGTTATTTGCAATTCCGCCTTTTACGTTCAACGGGGTTTACCCAGAGCTGTGCGGCGATCGCCAAGACCTAATTTAGAGCGTTTCCATCCCCCTCCCCAAATCTGCTCCATTTCCGGAGGTCCGCCGAGATCTGACTGCGCTGCGCTGCAAAACGGACAGCCAGGGGGCGCTGCGGGACCGACTCTCAGCTGCGCCTGCGCCGGCGCCGCGCGCGAACCCGAGCACTAGCCCGCCGAGCGCGCTCCCCCACGACTGCGACTGCGCGGAGCCCGAGGCCCCGCCGCTCCCGCCGGGGGCTCTTCGCTGGGCGCCTGGGCCATGGGAGAGGCGGAGGTGGGCGGCGGGGGCGCGGCGGGTGACAAGGGACCGGGGGAGGCGGCCACCAGCCCAGCTGAGGAGACAGTGGTGTGGAGCCCCGAGGTGGAGGTGTGCCTGTTCCACGCCATGCTGGGCCACAAGCCCGTCGGTGAGCGGAGCTCCGCGGACCCGCGTGGGGGCGGGGCAAGCCGGCAACGGCCCGGAGCGCGCGGCCGGGCGGGGGTCACCTACACCGCACCCCCGCCCCTGCCATCTCCTGCACTTCCTACACCTGCCCCCTCCGCACCCCCACTCCCCCACCCCCGCCACCTCCTGCACCTGCCCCCTCTGCATCCCCACCTCTGCCCCATCTTTACCCCTTACCCACTGATGCCTGCCCTGTCCTCCCCTCACCTTTGTCCTCCAATACCCCACTGACTCCTGACCCCTTTTGCCCCCACCCTCCCTCAACTGACCCTTTCTCCTGCAGGTGTGAACCGGCACTTCCACATGATCTGTATCAGGGACAAGTTCAGCCAGAACATCGGCCGGCAGGTGCCATCGAAAGTCATCTGGGACCACCTGAGCACTATGTATGACATGCAGGCCCTGGTGAGCTGGACTCCGCCACCCTCTCCAGTCCCCAGATGAGCTAGCAGCAGTGTCCCCTCCGTGCCTTCCGGTCTCTGCAGGGCCTGTCCCCAGAGAACCTGCTGTCCCCGTGGGGGCCGGCCATGAAACGGTGGAAACAGGGTGGCTCAGAACGGGTTTGCAAAAAGCACAGGCCTAGCGATGGCAGTGGGTCACCTGTGCCAGACCTGTTTTTGGTTGGTGGTCAGGGGAGGCCTCTCAGGGAGGTAACCCAGGAGCCCAGGCCAGAGCAGGGGGGCCCTTGCGCCGTCATCAGTCTTATGGGGGAGGCCCCAGAGTGCTCTAGGCAGGCAGGTGACCTTGTTCCCATCAGGTCAAGGTGAACAGCATGGCTCCTGTGAGAGCCAGGCAGGCAGGGCCATAGGCCTCGCAGGCCTGCCAGTCAGCACCCTGAGTCCTCGGCCCCTGGGCGGTCACTGCCCTCTGAGCTCGTGACAGCTGCTGCCAGTCTGTCCCTGAGGGCGTGTGCTGCTAACCCAGCGTTCCTCCCAGGCAGGCACTGTCATCTCGCCCTCCCCGGGCCTGCCGACCGAGTCTGCAGGGGACACAGGAGCGAGCCAGCCTCACCCCTCCGTGCCCACCACAGCAGCTCCCAGGGTGGCTCACTGGGGGCTCCTGAGTTGGCTTTTACACACATTTAGTCACTCACTAAAATCACATTGTCTCTTGTTTCTTAAAAAAATAAAACTCTCTATTTGCCATCAGCACGAGTCTGAGATTCTTCCATTCCCGAATCCAGAAAGGAACTTCGTCCTTCCGGAAGAAATCATTCAAGAAGTCCGTGAGGGTAAGACTCAGCGGAGGTCAGGGTTGGGGGGCAGGTGCTGACAGGTGAGGCCGTGAGCCTCCTGTGGGGTGGGGTTGCTGGCCTGTGACGCTCAGCCCACCTGGGTGGGGAGACATGCTCAGGGACAGGCGGCTGCTTGCAGCCTTGGGGCCCCCATGTGCGGACGTGTTGGGGGGGGACGTGTTGAGCCACCCGCCAGCGTGGGCTTCTGGGAACTGTCCACTGTCTCCCCACAGGAAAAGTGGTCATCGAAGAGGAAATGAAGGAGGAAATGAAAGAAGACATGGACCCCCACAACGGGGCCGATGATGGTAAGCGTGGAGCTCGTCATATCGCTCTGCTGGAGCCCCGGGGGACAGGCACCCACCCCTGGCAGGGCCTCCCCACAGGGCACAGCTCAGGTGCCCGGCTGGCCTTCCTGGTCCGCTGCAGCCACAGCTGCTCTGTCTGGTCCAGCAGCTGAGAGGCAGCTTCCCTCTGCTCGGGCAGGACCCTCACCAGGCCTGGACGTCATGCGTGCGGCCAGCACCGCAAACGAACCGCAGGGCAGGCCCAGTCAGGTGGACCCCGTGTGCCGTGCCAGAGGTCTCAGTGCAGGACAGACCCTGAGTAGCAAAGCCAGCGCAACCTTGCAGGACAGGCGTGAGTGGCGGCCAGGCGGGTCCCAAGGCTGAGTACACGGTGCCTGAGGCCCCCGTGGCCGGCACGTTCTCAGAAGAACCAGGAGCTCCATGGGCTGGGCGGGCACCCCCAGCTCAGGAGAAGCTGTGGGTTGAGAGTGTCGTGTGTGTAGATGCAGTTTTTAACTGAACAGGAAGATAAAATAAAACTCTGGATATTCTGTTTTCAGCCAAATGATTTTGTCTCCCAGTTTTCTCATCTTCAGGAAGCTTGGGGAAAGTAATGGAAAAGCCCAGCAAGGACAGGGACAAGAACCCCTCCGACTTGGGGGCCAAGGACGGGGCGGACAAGCGTAAGCGCAGCCGGGCTGCCGACAAGGTCCTCACCGCCAACAGCAACCCCTCCAGCCCCAGTGCCGCCAAGCGGCGCCGGACGTAGATGCCCCGTGAGGAGGGCCGTCGGGGGTCCCTGTCTGGAGCCCCAACAACACGAAAAGCCAGGATCGCTGGCTCAGGCTGAGAGCGCGCTCAGTGGTGGCTTCAGCAGCACCGAGCTGCCGTCTGTGTGACAGACGCCTGGCGTGAAGAGCAGTAAAGCCCGACTGCACTGCCTTCCCGGGAGCGCCTGTCTTCTCCTTGGTCCGTCTGTCCATCCGTCCACCCACGGCTCTTCTCTCTTGTTCAAGTGACTGTGACCTCCGGGGAAAGACCACCAGGCCGCGCATGGCGGCCCCTCCGTCACCCAAGAAACTGGGAACTGGATATTTGGCCTCATTCATTTGTACTGTAACGATGTATATAATTTGGTTGATATTTCACTATTTAATTTTTAAGAAGCCTATTTTACTAGTGTTTTATATGAAAAAAATACTGCAGAAGTTTAAAACCTGTGTTGTATTTTTTCCGAGACGTTTTGTTCTAAGGCGATGACCGCTGAGATACTTTGTGCTCAGTTTTTATATGCCAGACAGAGTTTGTGGTTATTTTTGTACTACCAAGTAACTTGCAAACAGACTAAACTCTCAGTGGAGGGCAGCCCGCCGGGGCTGATGCCAGGCAGGGGACTACGGGACATTAAAGCCCAGAAAAGTGACTTGGACTCGTGTGATTTTCATACCAGAATAAGTTACCTTTTGCTACTGTGGGGAGTTTTTATTTTTCCAAGACTGATAACTGCAGCGCACCCTCAGATGCGCTGGACACACCCGATACGACGCAGGTGCAAACGCGTGACCGCCAGCAGTGACCTGTAAATGTGACAAGCCCCCAGAGTGGTGCCAGGAGAGCTACAGAGGCAAAGCCCGCGCCTCGTGCTGTGGGAAGAGAGCCCGCACGTGCACGCTGGCCCAGGCCTCTGCTGGTGCACGGCGCAGGCGCGCCCCCTCCTGGCCAGCCACCACGCCCGGCCTCCTCAGCCTGAGCAACACGAGGACTCTGAGTTCCCATCCCCTGTCCAGTGTCCCATCCAAGGCCAACCCAGTCCCCACGGGGCCTGGAAGATGTCGCTGGTGCCCACTTCCCCCACAGGCCGGTGGCACCTGGCACAGAGCGTGTTGTGCCAGGGTCTGCAAACCTTGAGCAGAGGGTCTTAGCATCCACCTCCCGAGGGAGCCTGCAGGAGAAGCCCATGCTTCCAGCTTCCGGCCCCGTGGGGTGAGTCCCAGTGAGGGACCCACACCCGGTCAAGGCACCCTGCTGCCCGGGCAGGGGTCTGGGCAGAGCCCAGGGTGGGGTCGGAGGCTGCCATCCCGCCACACTCCTGCTACTGGCCTTTCTCCTCCCAAGATGAGGGCCCGTGGGGTCCGAGTCCACACATACCGCACGCTCCCCCGCTGCCCAGACACGCAGGGCCTGTCACCTTCCCTCGACGCACAGTGGTGACGACTCCCCTAGGACAGGGAGCAGAGCCTGCCTTATAGAGAGTTCTAGAACTGACAGGGGAAGGACATGCCCCCCCCACCCTCCTACTCACAGTGCCCACCACCCTCATTCTGCCAGGTTCAGGAGTCAGGACGAATGAGATCACCCTGGTCCAGGTGCCCGGAGGCCCCTGCCCTGGGGGGTGCGTGCAGAGTGGGGGGCAGGCTCCCTTTGCCAGGCTTGCTGGGAAACGCCCGCCTGAGACACGCCTTCAGGGGCCTGGGGACCTGCTGGAAAAGCCTAGTCGATAAATCACACCCGCCTCTTTCAATTACTCAGCATCTTGCAGGACTTGGTTGGAGTGTGGGCAGGGGAGCAGGTGGCCCCACCTCCCACATGTCCTGGCGCCCTTGGGGGCTGCAGTCCTCAGCATTACCTAGCACACCTGCCCTGGGCAGACGCAGCCCCCCAGGCCTCCCGGGACCCTTGGCCACATGTGGCCTGTGCAGGTCACACAGGCCCCTGTGGCACATGATGTCTCCAGCCCTTGGGCCAATCTGTGACACGGGGGTCTCACATGTGCCCACTGGGTAACGTGGAACCTGTACCTGAACAAGAAAACAGAGATGGTGGGGGCCAAGGTGGGGGCGGGGTGTAGAGATTCAAACACAACCGATGCTGCAGAACAAACTAACAGGTCTGCACCAACTCAGGGTCAGCCTCAGACTGGAAACCTTGGCAGCCAGCAGCTCCGGGGCCAAGGACCCTAGGGCCTGAGCACCCTGCCGCATCGGAGGCGGGTGGGAAACAGGTGGGTGTGGTCTCTGCTCTGGCTCCGCCCCTGATGAGGGATCAGGAGAGACAGTGGAGCCACAAGAATTGGTGAGCATACACTGAGTGGCAGCAGGGTGCAGTGGGTACCGCCTCCTCACTGGTGGCTGGCAGAGTGGGGGTGGGCAGACCCCGGCCAGATAAGGTGGCTGCGACTATTTTTGCCTGAGGAAAGAAAGCGTTAGAGCACGTCTACCCGGAGCCCCCTCACCAGACACTGACCCCTGGCAGGGAGGGCCTCCGGGCACGCGGCTGACTGCCGGGGCCAGGGGGCCAGGGCCTGAAGGCGCGAGGCTGGCGCTGTGCTCTGGGCCGAGTCGCACAGCCTGGGCAGCAAGCCGCCTAGATGTGGAGCCCACGGCAGGGGTCCCCAGAGCCCCCGCCTGTTCCCACAGCAGAGTCTGGGGTCCAGGATTACCGCCCCCCCCCATGAGGTGAGCTCTTGCAAACTGCACAGAGAAGCATCTACGGGCGATGGGGGGCGACCATTATTCCCAGAGCAGGGGCCAGGCAGCGTCTTCAGAACAAGCCAGGAGGCCGACCGCCCTCCCAGCCCTGCCCATGGGCCGGGCTGGGTGGTGAAGCCCTATCCTCCCACCGGCTCTGGGGGAGAGGAGGGGCAGAGCCTGCCCACCAGGAGCTCCCAGGTCAGCCAAACCCCAAAGGACCCTCAGCCCCAGTACCCCGTACCTCCACCACAGGCTCCCATGTACCCGGGTGTCAAAGCCAGGGTCTCCAAAGCCAGCTGCACGCTGGCTAGCAGGCGCGGACCAGCGGCTGCACTCCCTGGGAAGCCTATGCTGGCCAGTTCTGGCAGACGACTGTGCCTTTGGAGGAGCCGCCAGTGTCCTGGAAGGAGAGGTGTGCGTGCCCAGGTTGCAGTGGGGTGAGACAGGGCCCAGAGAGCTCCTGAAGCCGCCGTCACCGCAAGGAGGCCAGCCCTCCCCTGTGCACTGTCCTGCTCCACTCTGGGCTGTCACCAGCGTTGCAGGACCAGGAGTGCCACCACCCCCAGGCACGGGCGTCCCGAAGCCTGCTAGCTGCTTGCAGGGCCAGGAGACGTCTGCGCCCCTGGCAAGGCTAGACTGCAGCCTTCCCCATCGGCACCTGCCCTCCCCCTCCCCCCCACCCCTCCCGCAGGCAGCTCTCCTCGTGGCTGAATCTAAGTGCTGCACTTGAGTCTTAGCTACGTGTCTGCAGAAAGGCAGAGGACTTGTGGTCGCAGCAGATAGTTTTACCTGGGGTGGCCACACCCAGCCTTCATTTCCAAGGGTGAGTCACCCACTTTGCTGAAGTTCTGAGTCACCTGCCCAAGCTCAGAGGCAGAGGTTAACTAAGGGACCCAGCGTTGCGGGGAAATTTGGAGCAGCAGGTAATTTTCAGCCATCCAAAATCAGCCATCTCCCAGCTGCCAGAGAGACCCCCAAAGGGCCCACAACTGGCGATGGCCTGCGCGGACATCAGCAGGGGACCCCCAGTCACTTCTGCCTCCTGGCGCTCGGGCCGCATCGACGGTCACCACGCTGCGAACGCGCTCCTGCCGCCCTTCGTTGGGAGGGGCTCACTGCCCGGTACCAAGGGCCGGTGGAAGGCCCGAGGGAGCTTGGGAGCAGGTGGCTCCCTAAACAGGCCCCTGAGGAGCCCACGGCCCAGCTGACACCCAGAGGGTTTCCTGAGGGGACCACGATGGGGGTAGTCGGTCACCACCTGGGGGTATTCATGGCGGGGTGGGGGGCGACAACTTCCAGGCAGCACCCTCCTAGGGACGTCCTCCGAGGACATTCTCTGGGGGACACTGCTGGGGGCCTCCAGGCCGGGTCTCTAGGGGGCGAGCGTCCTCCAGGGCGGGGCGTGCTCGGAGTGGGGAGCTTTGGGGGATCCTCGGGGTGGGCGGATCCCGGGGTGGGGAGGCCTGGGAGGGGTTGTGGGGACACCGTCCGGGGGCCGCGCTGAATTCAGCGGCAGCCTCCCCGCGGGAGAGCCCTGGGCGGAGGGATTTGGGGTTGGGGAGGCGCTCGGCGGGACCAGGAGAAAGAAGTTCTCCCGCCCGGCCGCCCGCGCGCACTCCTCCCAAGCGGGCGTGGTCGCGGCCTCGCGTCGCTGGGAGCCCCGCCCCGAGTCGCTGGGAGCCCCGCCCCGTCGCGCCCGGCCCCGCCCCCGCGCTTCCTCTCGGGCTCGCGGCCGCTTCCGGCGGAGCGCGGGCCCCGCCGCCGCCCGAGCATGGACGATCCCGATCGCGACTCGACCTGGGAAGACGACGAGGAGGACGGCGAGGACCCGAGCGCCGGGGACGACGACGATGGCGAGGCGGGCGCCCCGCGGGGCGTGGAGGAAGAGGAAGAGGCGCGGCCCAGCGCGCTGCCGGTGCGCGCCCTGCGATCCCCGCGTCCCCCCCCCCCCCCGTGACCCCCGCGCCTACCGGGAGGCCTGCTGAGTCGCCTCGGATTCGAGGGGAGGCCCTGCTCCGGGGAGAACCGTCCCCTTGCCCCGGGCCGGGGGCGGAAGCTCCTCTCGGACACGCGTTTCCAGCCCGACTCCGGCTCCAGCGGCCCCCGTTCCGGACCCTGGCCTCCTGGAGGGCCCCGCACAATCCGCGGGACACCCTGAGATCGCCCCCGCTTTGGCGCCCCCAGGACGGGATCAGCAGGGCGGTGGCACTTCCTCGAAGGGAAGTCGGGGCACATCCTTAACCTCCCTTCCTCCGTCAAGTCCACCTCCAGGCCTGTGGCTCTGGGCTCTGGGCCCCACCCTCCGCGCCTCTCAGCCTCTTGCGCCCCTCAAGGAGCACCTCGCTCTGCTTCCCCGCACCCAAGCCTCCCCTCTTCTCCCAGGCGGCCAGCCACCCAGCCCCGCGCCCTTGCTGCTCCTCATGGAGTGCGGGCCGTCCTCTCCAGCGGGGGCTGGCCTTGCAGGTGGTCTTGGAGGCTGCACTTAGGTGACCTGCCTGAGGGGCCACTGGCCTGCCCAATGGTTACTTCTGGTTACCACTGGTTACTTGTTACTGCTGGTTACTTTGTTGCCATCCGTTACCTGTCTTGGCACTGGTTACTTGTCCTTAGGAGGGGGTTACTTGCCAGCACTTACTGGGCTGTGGGTGCCATTGTTACAGCTGGGGTCCCAGGAGTTTTCGGGGGATGGGACCCAGAATGGTAGCTGTCACCCTGTGTCCTAGTTGCTTTTAGGCCCTGACCCCTGGGCAGCATGTCCAGAGAAGGGTGAACATGTCCGTGGGGTCTCGGGTGGATTCTCCCAGAGCAGATAAGAGTCCCCCTCAGTCAGGGGGAGAGGAACCCTGCAAGGCCAGTGGCCTCAGCACATCCAGTGTGTCGGGATGAGTTCCTGGGGTCATGGGCCTGGAGGGGCAGGGCAGGAGTTTGGTTCTGTCCCTGGCAGGTTCCAGCAGGGGCGGTGAGGGTCAGGCGGGGGACGCAGTCCTCCCACAGGTCCACTGTATCCGTGTCCACCCTGTCACCCTGTGCGGTGCCCTGACCCTCGCACCCCTTCCCAGGCCCCCGCCAGGGCCCCGTGCTGCTCCCAACACCCGCCAGCCCGGGGCAGGAGAAACAGAAACTGATGGAGAAGCAGCACCGGCTGCGGCTGAGTTTCGGTTTTGTTTCCCGGCCGTGGCGGAGAAGTGGGCGGAGGGGCAGCTCCAGACCCCGGCTGGAGCTCAGACCTTACAGGGGACACACGGGGGGGGGGGGGGGGGGGGGGCTGGCCTTCTGGCCCCTCCAGCTGTTGGCTCCTCCCAGCTGTCCCCTCCTGTCGTGCCCAGGGGCTCTCTGTCCTGGCCCCTCATCCTCACCCAGTCTGTCAGCTGCGCTCACCCCGCCCCGGGCCCCTGCCCTGGGTGGGCTGCGTTTACCACTAACCCCCCATGATTCCCGCAACCCCAGGGTGCTTGGCCTGCAGAGACAGGGCTGCAGGGGCTGGGAGGGCTTCGAGGGGCCACTGCCTTGTTGTGGGGAAGCCCCGAGTCCCACTCTGAAGGGGCTGGTGGCCCGGAAATAAGGGGTCTGGTCACTGAGCAGTGGGTTTGGGCCAGAGGGGACAGGCTCCCTGGGCCTTGGACACTCATTCCTTCCTCAGACCCTGCAACAGGCATTTGGGGACCCACCAGGGGGTAAGCGGGCACAGGAGCCTGGTGACAGCTCAGGGCACAGTGGGAGGAGGAGGTGCTGGCGGGGGCAGGGGTAGCCAGGGAGCATGGGAGGAGGAAGTGAAGGAGGAGGGCTGCGCCCAAGAGGGGTTTGCACAGGCTGGGGGCTCCTGAGGGGTGAGTGGGGGTCAGGCCTCACTCCAGCTGCTCGGGGCCCCTCAGGTCTTGTTGACACCTGGCTCAGGGCTTGCTGGCCTTGAGGAGGGCGAGGGTCTCCCAGGGGGTCTCATCCCCTTCTTTCTCCCCCCAGTCTAGGACGGCCGAGCTCCGGAACTGGCGAGCCGTGCGGGACACACGCAGGTACCGCCACCACTATCCGGTAAGTAGCTGCCCAGGCCCCTTGCACCTTTGCAGCCTGCCCGGGACAAAGCCCTCCCACCTCCCCCAGACGAGGCCAGTGGGGCCCTGCGTCCCTGGGCCTCAGCGTCCTCGCCTTCACAGGCGGTCGTAATGCTGCCGCTTAGCGCCTCCCCTGAGGCCCCACACTGCCTGGTTTCACAGGGTCCCCTCTTGTGTGCGGCTGGCACTTCATTCTGTGCCCGTGAGTCTCAGACAACCCTGGGCTGCCTCTGGGGACAGACAGGGGCAGGGGGTGGGTTGGGGATGCCCCAGCGCTAGCCCACGTTGGCGAGGAGAGGGCCAGAGGCCGACACAGGCTGGGTCTCCGGCAGCCTTCGGGATGTCTGGAGGTTTCTGGCCGAGAGCAGACGCCCCCTCCCCTGGGAACACTCTAGTCTGAGGGGTCTGGGGAGGCAGCCTGTTCCTGATGCTGTCCCGACCGGGACTCTCTCCGACTCTCCAGGATTTGATCGAGCGAGACAGCAACGGCGACATGCCAAACCTGAGTTTCTACAGGAACGAGATCGAGTTCCTGCCCCACGGTGCGTGCCTGCCTGCGGTCCCTCCCCTCTCTGCCTGGGACTGCAGGGCCCCCTCGGGGAGCAGCAAACGGTTGGGGCTGTGGCTTTCAGGCCACCCCACAGCACCCCCTGGAGGCTGCTGAGGGGACACCAGGGCCCTGCAGTGCACACGGCCACTTTGCTGCCCCCAAGGCCCCACGCTCATGTCACAACCTTGTGACTCCCCTGCCGCAGCGGGAAAGCCACACATGCCAACTAATAAAGTGTGGGTTTTGCATTTTTACATGGTGGGGAAGATTTCAAGAAGGAAGAATGTTGTGGCTAGAAATATTGGGAAACTCAGATTTCAGCGTCCACGAGCGAAGTTTTAGTGGGACCCCGGCCTGTGGCTGTTTTCCCCAGGACACAGCGTGGCTGCTGTGGGGGCCACGTGGCGTCCAGCGCTTACCCTCTGGCACTTTGCAGAGTGGTGGACACCCAGCAGGAGGGGCCCTGGTGTGAACAAGCCATGGTGCAGGGGTTCAGCGAGGACCCCCTGCAAGGACAGGGGCAAGAGTGGGAACACCGGCCCCTTCCTCAGGGGCTGCCCTTGGTCAGCAGTGGTGTCCCTGCTCCCAGATCACAAGGAGGCGAGGGACTCAGAGCTGCACGTCGCCGAGGCCCTCGGAAAGCGAGGGGAAGGGTCGGGGCCCGGGTCACTCCCGATGACCGTCCCCTCTGGCCCCCAGGCTGCTTCATCGAGACCATCCTTCAGGACTGGAAGGACGACTACGACACCCTTGAGGACAACCACTCCTACATCCAGTGGTGAGCAGTGGGCGGGGCTGGGTCCGGGCGTCCCCCTCAGCAGGCACTCTGCGCCCTTCCTGAGGCCACGCCTGGCGCCCACTGCAGGGCCCCACAGGCCAGGTGGCTGAGGGAGGACCCCGAGCCCCTGCAGGCTGGGGCTCGTTAGCCCTGACCAGCCTCTGTGGCTGGTGGGGGGCTGAAGTCCCATGCGTGGGACAGCCTCCTGAGCCCCAGAAGCAAGTAGCGCTTGCCCGGCCTACATGGCAGGGTTCGACCCGCGGCTGGAGGTGACCCTGATGTTGCCCTGCAAACGCAGTGTGTCTTTGAGGACCACTCACAGGGGCCTCTCCTGGGCACCAGAGCATCAGTGACCAGAGAAAAAGAACAAAGAAAACAGGGCCCACTGGCCGCCCGGTGTGGAGAGGCAGGCAGGTGTCCCAGGCTGCTGAGCGCACTTGCTGAGGACCTGGGGGGCCACACGTGTGTCTGTCTTGGGCCCTGGTTGGTGGCCCCTGCTCGGTTCAGCAGTGAGCCCGGAGAGCCCACCGGCGCCGTGGGGCAGGGAGCCGGGTCTGCCTCTGACAGGCGGTGCCGCTGCTTCTCCCACAGGCTGTTTCCCCTGCGGGAGCCGGGGGTGAACTGGCATGCCAAGCCCCTCACGCTGCGGGAGATCCAGGTGAGCCAGGGCCTCTGGGTGCCCCTCACAGCCACCTGCAGTGCAGGAGCTGGAACACCCGCCACCACCCCCATCGTCTCCCCTCTAAGGGGCCCTCACGCTGCCCTGGGCGCTCTGCTCAGGCTGCCAGAGGCCTGGCCTGCCGCGTGGGCGGTGGGGGCAGGAGCGGAGACCGGCCGTGGGACCAGCAGTGGCATCCAGGGAGGTGCGAAGGGACAGGTGGGCAGCGAGAGCTGCCAGGGGGCCTTCCCCTCGGGGCTGAAGTGACGCCTCAGGCCCTGGTGGCTTCAGAGGAGTTCAGAGTAAAGGGACAGTTACGTTAACGCGTCTCAGGGCTCCTTCCCCGTCTCTTCACCCCACACCCCGGAGTCCGAGGCCTGAGGGAGCACGGCAGCCACGGTCCGTGCAGGGGTCGGCCTCTGAACTCTGCTCGGGCTACTCCCCAGGAGTTCAAAAACTCCAAGGAGGCCCGAGAGCGGTTCGTGCGCGCCTACGAGCTCATGCTGGGATTCTACGGGATCGAGCTCAAGGACCGGGACTCTGGCGCCGTGTGCCGTGCGCACAACTATCGGAAGCGCTTCCAGAACCTCAACTGGTGAGGACCACCCGCCCCCGCCAGCTAGCCCCCGCCAGGCCCCAGGTTTAGGGAGGAAGGTGCTGCGAGGGGTTTCAGGCAGGGGTCCTGGGAGCACCTTGGGGAAGGTGGGGCAAAGGACTGATGAGCGCCCTCCTCCTTCCTTGCAGGGTGGGGTGGGCCCTACCTGATAGGGTGCCAGGGCCCAAGGAAAGTCCCCTGGTCATTGTGGCTTCTCAGCTGTGCGCTGCCACCCGCTGGCCTCCTCAGCCTCGTGGACAGCGCTCCTCTCCGTTGAAAAGCGGGGGAGCTGGTGCAGGCCCAGGGGGCTGATGTGCCCACCGCACATCGTAGCCACGGCGGCAGGGGGTGTTCCATGGGACCAAGGGGATAGAGGACGCATCACCACCCCCACCTAAGCCAGGCCCCTGGAGGTGGGATGGGGGGGGGGGGCCTCGGCTGAGGACCACCCACCAGCACCCTCCATCCCCGCCCCCAGGCACAGCCACAACAACCTGCGCATCACACGCATCCTCAAGTCGCTGGGTGAGCTGGGCCTGGAGCGCTACCAGGCGCCGCTGGTGCACTTCTTCCTGGAGGAGACGCTGGTGCACCGGCAGCTGCCGGCGGTACAGCAGAGTGTGCTGGACTACTTCGTGTTCACTGTGCGCTGCCCGCGCCAGCGCCGCGCGCTATTGCGCTTCGCCTGGGAGCACTTCCGTCCGCGTCGCAAGTTCGTCTGGGGGCCCCACGACAAGCTGCAGAGGCGTGCGCTTCGCTCTCCTCCGAGGCCACCCTCGCCAGTGGCCCCCAGCGAGGCCCAAGGGGAGGAGAGCCCTGGGGACACCCACCTCCAGGCTGGAGCCTGCGAACCTGGGACAGGCGAGGATGGGGACAGTGTAGCCGCCGACCCGCAGCTACCGAGCTCCGAGCCCCAGGAGGAGGGGGTCCAGGAGAGGGACCAGGGCGAGGAGGCCCAGAACGGAGGAGAGGAGGGGCCGGAACCTTCCAGCCCCAAGGAGAGCAAGAAGAGGAAGCTGGAGGCAAACCGGCGGGAGCGGGCCCCAGGGGAGGCGGGCCCCCAGGGTTCCTCCGAGGTGGAGAAGATCGCCCAGAACTTGGAGGACTGCGCCCTCAGCCAGGGCAGCCTGGGGGCGGGGGCCCAGGAAATGGGCAGCCAGGAAGCCGGGGAGACCGAGCAGCCCTGTCCCCCACCCCCAGGGGCCAAGGTGCCCAACGACGAGGTGAGGAAGCGGAGGAAGGTGGACCAGACTCTGGCCCCCACCTGGTCTCCTGTGCGGCCAGGGTCCCCTGAGATTGGCGGGGGTGAGAATGGAGTGGAGAAGGAGGCGGCGGAGGATCAAGGCCAGAGCGCCCCCCAGAGCTCGGCCGCGGAAGAACCTGCCGTTGATCAGACGACGGAGGCTGCCGAGTCTGTGGAGGCTGCGGAGGCTGCCGAGTCTGCGGAGGCGGGACTGGCTGCCACCCCGCAAACGCCCTAGGCGATGGGACGCCAGTGGGCCTCCCGGCCTGGCCCTGCGCTGGGAGAGCCGCGTTGCCAGCTGCTCCCGGTGCCGGCACTGTGGGCCGCGCCCCGGGGGTCGCTGCGGCCCCGGGAAGCACAGAACTCCGGGATCCTCATCTCGCCCTCTCTGCTGCCTCCCTCCTCGGCGCCGCTGGCCCATCTTTGTAAATTGGCCCTTGAGGGTCTGGGAATGGGGTGGGGCTCATTTTCTAAGTCTGGTGCCCAGGCTTTTTCTGAATAAACTCGTTTGACTTAGAGCGCTGTGGCGCGGGCAGTGATCCTGCGGTGGCCAGGGTGGGCTGGGGGCTGGTTTCGGGGACCCTCTGCTTCAAGGGGCTCTGGCTGGGCTGTGGCGCCTCTTCTCACATGCGTCCCTCGCAGGGACATGTGGGCCCCACCCAAAGTGCCCTAACCCACCACATCTGGGGGCGCCTGGGCTGGACATGCAGCCATTGACTGCCCCCCCCCCCCAGCAGGAGCAAGGCTGGGGACACACCCTCCCGTCCCGGGGCGGAGGGGGTGGTGCTGGGGTTCCCGCGCCCTGCCCACCCTGACGGGTTCAGCTGGTGCTTTGGGAGTGGCTCCGACCCAGCGGGTCACGGCCCCCCAACGAGCCTGAGCGCTGAGGCTTGGCCTTCCAGGGCTGCCTTGGCCCCTCCGACCTGCTGTGGGCACGGTGGGCCCTCCCCACAGGACAGGGCCAGCTCTACCCCCTGGGCCAGAGCCTTTCCCTCCCTGACACTGGCCCACGGGGCCTCGTGGAGGAGCCCACACTCGCAGAAGTGGAAGGATGAGCTGCAATGCCCCTGGGGAGTGTGCAGGGAGCAGTCGGATCTGGGTCCCTTTCGGTGAGAAGCATTGATGGTTTGCCCTGTTTGGGGAGGGGTGCTGGGCGTGCCAAACACAGGGGGTCATTTTGGACAGGAGAGGCCCAGAGCTCATGCTCACCAGCGCTGGAGTGGGGAGGGACGTGCCCTCGGCTCCCACCGTGGAGGAGAGACTGGGCCTGGATGTGGACGTGAGGCATGGAACATGGAGTCACGCACGGACCTGGGGGTCCGGGTCCTCAGGAGAGAGCCTTGCGGGGTCTCGAGTGCCAGCGGGCAGCTACAGTACACTGACCCCCAAGTTTTGCCTCCTGTGGCCCCAGCCCCAGCCCCACTGGGGCCTCACTGTTTGGGCTTGGGGGTGGGGGCAGCTCCCCAGGGGGAGGGTCCACTAGCAGCTGGGGGCGTGTTTGCTGGGGGCTGTGGAAGAGAGTACCAGACACCACGTGGTTCCTCTGATGCCAGTGGGCCGTCCTCCAGAGCCCTGGGGCCAGGCGGGAGGTCCCGAGGGGTGAGCTTCAGGAACAACTCGTGCCCCAGACCCTGGGCTGGGGTTGGGGTTGCTGCTTCCCGCCAGACTCCCCCCCCCCCCCCCCCCGCCGTCTCCGAGGGAGGCCATCCTAGGTTGGCTCAGACTCTGCTGGAAGGCAGGAGTTTCCGGCTTCTCTCAGCTCTTCCCGACCCAACCCACGCCCTCCCTCCCCTCGTGGGTGGGGCCGGGCCTGGGTCCGAGGTCCCGAGGTCCAGGTGAAGCTGCTCCGGAGCCAGGTGCTTCCTCGAGGCTCCCTTTCCCCTCCATCCGCCGCCTCCCGTTCGAATTCGCATCACCTCAAAGTCCTGAGTTTCCACCCGAGCAAATGCGGTTGACGCAGCCTACCTCGACCCCTGGGGGTGGGCCTGTAAGTGACCTGGGCAATGGAGAGACCCCAGGGGACTGTGGAGACCTCCTGACCCCAGGTGTTGCCCCTTCCCCCCCACCCGGAGACAAACAACCAGAGTTTGCCTGTGGCAGGGGCCCCGAGCTGCCCGAGGCTGTGCAAGCGGAGCACCTGGTGCCTGTTCCTCAAGATTTCCGCTCAGTCCCCAGGTGGCCATCCTTCCTCTCTGCCAGGGCCACCGCTCTGCTCTCTCTTGGGCTGAGGAGGGCCAGGGGGCAGTCTGGCCATGGCCTTCAGGGTGCATGTGTCTGTATGGAGTTTGGGATCAGGCCTGGGGTCCAGAGAGCAGGCATGATGGGGCCCATAGCAGGGTCCGGGGCTGTGGGGGCCTGCCTGGGCCTTGCCCAGCTGGGGCCCCACTCAGGACCTGGGGAAGAGTGGGCGGCTCTGGGTCCCATTTCTGGGATGAAAGCTGCTGCTTCCCTGAAGGGTCCCCTCAGTGCAGGCTCTCCACACTCTGGGGGAGGGGCAGGGAGAAAAGAGCATCTTTCTTCTTTGCTAAAAGGTATGTGTGTGTAATTCACCAGTCTGGGTTAATTTTAACTCAGAGGCCAGCCCAAAAAATGCCACTAGAGCTGTCTCCCCCTGCCTGGCTCGGCGGGGAGCGCGGGCTGCGGAAGCCCCCGCCCGCCCAGGTGGGCCCTGCTGAATGGGGGGCTTGTGCGCAGCTGGAGGGGCGGGAGCTGGCAACCTGCCCACCGTCCGCCCCGCCCGCTGAGCCCCGAGCCTCAGCACAGCCGCTGCAGCCAAGCGCCGCTCAGAGCTAGCGCAGCCATGGCCCGAGCCCCAGCCCTGGCCCTGCTCCTGCTGGGGCAGTTCCTGGCCGAGACACTCGTGGCCCAGGCACAGGTAAGTGCAGGGTCGCGGGAGAGCTGGGCCCTTGCCGGCGAACAGCGGTCTGGGGTGGGGGCCTGGGGGGGGGGGGCGTGGGGCAGCGCAGCCCCAGGGACGACCCCCTGTCCCTGCTGCCCTGGGCTGGCCAGCAGGCGGCCTGGGGTGCTGGGGGTTGTCACAGCTGCCAGGCTGAGCCCCATGGACCCCAGGGCCACTCAGGAGGAGCCCAGGTGGCTGCCTGGTCATCTCCAGGCCAGGGTCCAGCCACACTACAGCCACCACTGCTGGACACACAATGTCGCCTTTGTTCCCCGAGGCGCCCTGGCAGGGCCACCACAGCCCCTCCTGGCTGCACAGACCAGGCACCGACACCCCCACAGGGTCTCTGAGGCCACAGGGCCCGTGGGCCCCAATGCCAGGCCCCAGTGCTGGGCAACCTGGGGAGAAGGGACACTCCGTCGGGCTGACCCAAGAGCCAGCCAGGGGACCCACCTGCAGGGTGGGGTGGGGAGGGTGGGCGGGTGACAAGTCCTAGGTGCCTAACAGCATCTCTCCATTTCAGAAAATGGGCCTGAGAGGCCCCCCAGGCCCCCAGGGGCCACCTGGAAAGCCAGGCAAGGACGGCATTGATGTGAGTTGGGTGCGGGAAGGGCCAGGGAGGGCCATGGGTTCTAGCTCTGGTCGCCCCAGACCTCCCCGAACCCCCGGGCCTGATGGACAGAAAACTTGGTCCCACCTCCCAGGGCTGGGTGACGTCAGGGAGATGAGCCAGCACCCTTGTGGGATGCGACATGAGACAAAGGTGACCCTGTTCTCACCCAGGACACACCCCACAGGACCCCATCCCCGGGCGGGTGGGGGGACGACAGCAGGGTGGGCCCCGGACCAGAAGTGAGGGCCCTGAGGTGTGGGGCCCTGCGCCCCTCTGTTCTGGGGATCGGGCATGGCCGTGTGGGGCCCGGCCCTCAGCCTGGGCTGCTGGGGGCTACAGCCAGCCTGGGGGGGGGCTGTGTGCAACCCCCACAGGTGTCCGGGCAGCCCGTGGAGGGGCAGCGGGAACCCTGCCCCCTGGCCACCCCCACCCAGCCGCCTCCATGAAGATCAGGCCCCCCCGTGACGCCTCCCCCTCAGTGTGGACCCCACGGGTCTCCCACCTGACCGGGCCCTGGCTCCCGGGGCTCCCAGGCCAAGCCAGTCAGGCCTTCGGAGGAGGTTGTCCTTAAAGTCCTGCCCGCTGGGTGCTGGGGTGAGGCTGGGGCCGCCCCCTCTGACCACGTGGAGACAGGAGGCCGAGTTTCTGAGGCTTTCTGGCCAGTGGAGGCCTAGGGCTTCAGGACTTGAGCTCTCATTTCCGGGGGTCCTGTCCCTGAGCCCTCAGAGAGATGATCTCCCATAACCTGTAGGCCACGAGGACGCCTGCATTGCTCGCCCCTCCCCCAGGGCCTGGCCCTGCAGAGGGGGTGTCCCCAGGTGTGGACAAGGCAGTGAGGGACGCCCATGGGGGTGGGGTCTTCAGGGAGCACTGGGTCACACAGGGTGTCTTCCCTTCTGCAGGGAGAAGCTGGCCCTCCTGGCCTGCCTGGGCCCCCGGTGAGTGCCCCTGGTGTGGTGGGGGAGAGGAGCACCGGCCCGAAACAGAGGGGGCATTGATGCCCCGCCCCCTGCAGGGGGCCTGGGGAACCAGCCGGAGGGCCCCAGCAGGGGCTGAGCTGGGGAGGAGGTGGGAGGCAGTGCCCAGGGCTCTGCGCGGCTGCAGGCATGTCCTGGCTTTGAAGCTTCCTCTGGGCCTGGAACACAGCCTCACTGGGGAGCCAGTCAGAGGTCTGCTCGTGAGCCCTCTTCAGCCTGGAATTGGGGCTCTTGGGCTCATGGAGGGGGGCCCGCAGAGGGACTGCCGGCCCTGAGCTGGGGACGCTGAAGTGTCCAGGTGGACATCCTGTAGAGGTGACTAAGGGTGCAGAGGGGAGGGAGGCCCCCTGGGGCCAGCACGGGGGGGGGGGGGGGGGTGTCAGGGTCTTTGGGACACAGAGTTGCGTCTCAACGGTGAGGGCCCCTCGTGACACCCGGGCTGGAAAACACCGGGCTGCTTCCTCACGCCTCTGCCCTTCCCCCCCCAGGGACCGAAAGGGGCTGCGGGGAAGCCGGGGAAACCAGGAGAGGCGGGGCTGCCGGGGCTCCCCGGCGTGGACGTGAGTGTGCCAGCTCCCCTAGGGCCCTCCCCGCCCCCTGAGCCCCCCTCACTCCCTCTCCCACCACCCCCTCCCCAGCCCCCGCTGTGTGCCGGGGCTGGAGGGTTCCTTCCCAGCCCCAGGAGTCTGGGTTAATTGCTGCCCCCAGCAGGCCTCCCCTGGCCTTTGTCCCAGAGCCTAGTCTGGCCAGGCCGGCAGGGGACGGCGCCTGCCCACCGCAGAGGGCCCGTTACCCAGGCCCCTCCCAGGCCCAGCTGTGCAGCGGTCGCCAGGGGCCCCAGGCCCGGCCCCCGGACCACTGAGCTTCGTGGGGACGCAGGGCTCTGAGACTCGAGCTCTCCTGCCTGCCAGGCTCCCCGAGTCCGGCACAGGCTTTGTGTCCCGGCCTCCCGCTGGCTGCCCAGTGCCCGCCCAGCCCCAGGTCTCCTGGGCAGCTCTGGACTCAGCTTAGTTAGGGAAGTGCCCGTGGCCTGTTCTTCCCCTGCACACGGGAGGGGGACACGCCCTTCCACATGAGCCCTTCACCCCTCTCCCCAGGGTCTGACCGGGAGAGAAGGACCGCCTGGATCTAAGGGTGCCCCTGGCGAACGGGTGAGTGCCAGCGCAGCACGAGGCAGCTTCAGCTCCGGGTGAGGCCGGGAAGGGCAGGCTGGCACCCCTCCGTCCACAGGCCCTGAGGCTGGTGGCTCTGGGGCAGCTGCCATGACAGGGACAGTGCCGCTGGGCAGCAGGGGCACAGGGGACAAGTGGGCAGCCCCTCTCAGAGCCCCCCCCCGTTACACCCACCTGTGGTCGCAGCTGTCCTGGCCTCAGACCGTGTGGGGAGGCTGGTACAGCTGGGGGGACCTCTCCCACGCCATCTCTGTGCCCACCGAGAGGCCCTCGGTCACCTGGACTGCACCCCACGTCTGACCACCGTTTCTGAAGCCCACTTCCTGACCACAGCGGCCCTTGGGAGACTCTCCGAGCCCGCACACTCTGCTCCCTTCCCCTCCAGAGCAGTGACCGTCCGCCCCAGCCCTGGGACAGGGCTGCCAGGGACAAGTGGCTGCTGGGGCCTGTGGGTCCTTCGGGGCCAGTGGACGGGGGTGGGGGAGGATGGGGGAGCCCCAGGCCTCCTGCAGGGAGTCTGAGCTGAGGGGACACGGGAGGGAAGTGTCCTCAGGGTGCTGGGCTGCAGACCGGCCCAGGTTCTGGGCTCCCTCCCGGGGGTCGAGGCCTCTCTGACCCCGGCGGCAGCTGACCTGGAGGACTTCCTGGCCGAGGGAACACAGGCCACTGGGGTCCAGAGGTCCCCCACACCCAGGGCCTCAGTACAATGGGCACCCCTCCTCAAAGGAGGTGCAGGATGGATTGGCCAGGCCCTGATACCCAGTTTCCTTCTGCAGGGAAGTCTGGGGCCCCCAGGGCCGCCTGGGCTTGGGGTGAGTCCTGCCTCCCCCCAGTGGGAGTTCGAGGGGTGGGAGGGGCTCCCCACTCCAGGGGTGGGGGGGCTCTCCCCACACCCACCTGGTTGTCGGGGGAAGGGGGGCTCATCGTCCTGTCTCCAGACACTCTGACCCTGCTATTGGCTTTGCAGGGCAAAGGCCTCCCTGGACCCCCTGTGAGTACCCTCAGGCCCCCCACCCCGGCATGCCCACCACACCCACCCAGGGCCGCCACCTGCCTGCCAGGTCCCAGACCAGGGCTGGGGTGGGGTGGGGCTTCAGAAGTCTCCTGTCTTCAGAGAGGGCAGACGGGCCCTGCATGGGGGTCTGGGAGCCCTTGGGTGTGACTCCCGCCCCCACCTCTTTACTCCACCCCAGGGAGAGGCAGGAATCAGCGGGCTCCCAGGTGGACTCGGCCTTCGGGGCCCCCCGGTGAGTGGCTTTCCGATCCCTCCCCGCCTCGGGGAGGAGGCGCCCTTCCTGCCGGGACCCCCCGACTTCAACCACCGGGGGCTTCCCCAGTCTCTCCCTCCCCTGCGTCCTCTCCCCTCTTACCTTCCTGGAGGGAAGCCTGAGTGACATCTGGGGACAGGGACAAGCCCAGCCTCAGAGCACAGGCACCAGAAGCAGGCCAGGCCGGTGAGAGGGGCGGAGCTGGAGGCGGCCCCCAAGGACACAGTCCAGAGGGGCTTCTCCCAGGTGGCAGCTGGTGCCCTCCCCTCCGGTGAGGCTGGTCCTGCTCCATCTAAGTTGTAACCCGCCCCCCAGGGACCCTCTGGACTCCCAGGCCTGCCTGGCCCTCCCGGCCCTCCAGGACCCCCTGTAAGTACTGGGCAGGGGGCTGCAGGCACGGATGACCCCTCCCCTGTCCTCAGCCCCCAGCACCCCCCAGGACCCGCACCAACATCCAGTGTCCAGGCCCAGCTGAGCCCCGGGCTGAAGCAGAGAGTTGGGGAGGGGAGGGCTCAGGCCCGGTGGCCCCCCCACCTCCCAAGGCAGGTGGTTCTGTCACTGTGTCCTGTGTCCTGTGGACGGGCCAGCAGCACAAAGTGGAGGAACCTGAGGCCCTGGTGGTAGTGGGTGTGGGGAGGGCAGGGGAGGGCGGTGGGCTGGGTCGCAGTCGGACATCTCTGTTCCAGGGCCACCCAGGGGTCCTCCCCGAAGGCGCGACGGACCTCCAGGTGGGTTCCTTTCGTGGAGGGGGCCTGTCTTGGTGGGAGGGGGCTCTGCCCGGTCCCTGACCTTGGACCCATCTGGAGGCCAGCCTGTTCCACCCCCCACGGGGAAGGCAGGGGCAGGTCTGGGCTCAGCTGCACCCCCAGGGCGCAAGGCTGCCCATGGCCCTCGGTGGCGGCGGTGGCAGTGGTGGCGGTGGCGGCGGCACTGGGCACTGCAGATGGAATGTGCCCCTCGGAGAAGGTTCCAGACTGAAGTCTGGGGCTCGCTGCCATCTGGGCCTTTGAGCCTCGTTGCTCGTGTGAAAGGGAAGGCAGCCCACCCCTCGTGCCAGTGTCCTGCAGCACGAGGTCGACGGCCCCTGGCTCTGCCAGGTCAGCTGTGGAATGCTCTAGAATCCTCAGCCCCCGCCCCACACCCTCCCCAGTGTGGAGCATCAGTGCCCGAGGGACAGGCTTCCCCCCCTCAGCACGTCTGTGCGCGGAAGAGCCGCCGCCGCGCACGGCAGGGAGCTGGGGCTCGGATGAAGGCCCCTTTGTGTGGCCGCAGACACTCTCCGACCCCGAGGTGGCCCTGTCTGCGCTGAGTCCGGGAAATCAGAGCCGGGTGGCGGTGAGGAGGCAGCCGTGGTCTGGCTCCCACAGAGCCCATGGCCGGCCCCGAACGAGTCCCCTGCGTCTGGGAGGGTCTGACCTCTCTGTTCTCTAACAGTGCCCAGCCATCTGCCCACCAGGGCCCCCTGGCCCCCCGGGGATGCCAGGGTTCAAGGTAAGTGGTGGCCACAAGGTGACTCAGACTCCGGCCCACCTCCATGCCCCCAGGAGGCAGCCCCGCCTCTAGGTGGGCTGAGACGGGGGGGGGGGACGTGGGGGCCCAGAAAGGGGGGCTGGCCTTCCACCCTGCCTGGGGGCTTCGCTCTGTCCCCCCCCCATCGCCGGCCTGGTCACAGAGAGTCGGCCTGGTCAGGCCTCAACCCCTTTCCAGCCCAGCCGCGCTCCTGGGGCCCGGCCTGCTTCCCCCCGGGGTTCTGGATCTACTGGGGGGGTCAGGCTGTGACTCACGCCCCCCTGCTTCCAGGGACCCACTGGCTACAAAGGGGAGCAAGGAGAAGTCGGCAAGGACGGTGAGAAGGTGCGTGGCGGGTGCCCACTCAGGTGGCGGCAGCCGGAGGGGCATTTGGTGGTGGTGACCAGGGCTGCAGCCGGGTGGAGGGGCAGGCGAGCGGGCACTGGGGGTGCACCCAGTGGCACGCCCACCCAGCAGGCCTGGCTGCCCAGGGCCAGGTGACATGGGACAGGGTCTCTGGAGAGACCCCCCCTTCCAGCGGTGGCCAGAGAAGGCTGGCTTCCACTGGAAGTGTCCCCAGCGGTCCCTGCCACCCTGCAATAGCCACTGCCCGAGAATCTGCCCTTCCTCCCCCACATGCTGGGGTGAGGCCGCCCGCCTTCCAGTGTGGCAGGCGTGGCCAGACCCCCACGTGGGCAGCAGGGGCCACCCCAGCCAGGAGTGGGGTCTGGAAAGGTCTGGGCGCCGGCTGGAACAGAAGCCGGGGATGTGGGAGCAGGGCCGGCAGGCGTGGGAAGGGCCCTGGAGAGCCAGGGGCTGACCCCCCACGGTGGCTTTGTCTGACTCCCCTGCAGGGTGACCCCGGCCCCCCTGGGCCCCCCGGCCTCCCCGGCACAGTGGGGCTACAGGTGAGTGGGACGCCTGTGGGTTGGGAGATGGGAGCCCCTTGGACAGCTCGGGGTGAGGAGGACGGTCACCAACACCCATGACGTGAATGAGGCCAGGCCCTGCCTCTCGAGCCAGGGGTCTCACGGGTCTGTGGCCCGTTCCGCCGGGGCCTGAGCTGGGGCTGCGGGTTTCTGGGAAAGCTGCTGGGGGCCCACCATGGCTCTCCACTCTCCCCGCACAGGGCCCACGGGGTCTCCGAGGACTGCCAGGGCCACTCGGGCCCACCGGGGACCGGGTGAGTCTGCCAACCCCCACACACTGCACCGCCGGGCCCCGGGCCCCGGCCCAGCCAGGTGGAGGGGAGGCCCCTCCCCTCCCACCCTCTCCAGTGGCCACAGCTGGGCCACCAGAGGCTACGCCTGAGCCTCTCTTCCCTTGTCCTTCCAAAGCCGGGGCTGTGAAGGCATCTCAGGCCTGGGGGTTGGGGCAGGAGGGGACCTCAGCAAATGCAGGCGGGGGGGATGGGGGACACTGGGTGGCCAACTCAGGAGGGGCCTGCTGGGGGGCTCAGGTGGAGCGTACAAGGCGGGGCCCCTCCAGATGGAGCTAAGTGCTCTGTGGGTTGCTGGTGGGCTTCAGAAGTGAGGCCCAGGTGCCCCCTTTTCTCTACAGGGTCCCATCGGGTTCCGAGGACCCCCCGGCATCCCAGGCGGCCCTGGTAAAGCGGTATGTGGGGGTGGGTGGAGGGAGGTCTCGCAGGCTCTCTGTCCCCTCCCCTCTTCCTCCTTTGGACACCTCCCCAGCCCCACTGGCTGCGCTGGCCCCTCCCGGGCTGGAGCTGATCTGTGGGCACCCTGGGACAGGTTCCCACGAGGGTACCTGAGCAGGAGGCAATGGGCCCCCCCCCCGGCGGGCAAGTCCACCAAAGCGGTCTCTCTGTGCTTCCTGGGGCACTTGCATTCCTTCTCCTCCTGGGCGTGAAGCGAGCTGTGTGTGGCGCCCCTCGGGCCGAGACCCTCAGCGGTATCGGCCCTACGCCTCTGCCCACCTCTGGGCTGTCACCCCGGCCAGTCACGCCTCAGTCCGGCTCCCCACCTGCTTGAGCCGTGAGCTCTGTCCCTGTGCCCCTGTCATTCCAGGGTGACAGAGGCGAGAGGGGCCCAGATGGGTTCCGCGGCCCCAAGGGCGACCTCGTAAGTAACAGATCTGTGCACCCCTAGGTCCTTTGCCAAAGGGGCTCAACCTGCAGGGGCCCGGGCCGGGGGCGTGGGGTGGCTGCCCCTCCCTGGGGTGGCAGGGGTGAGCCACTGGAGCCCTCAGCCCCCACTTCCCGGCAGTCATCCGACTGGCTGCCCCCAAGCGGCGGCCGCTGCTTGCCCAGACGCGCACCGGTTGAGGGGCCCCGGGCACGGGGGCCTGACCCGAGCCCAGGCTTCCCTGCTCGAGCTGAGGCGACACAGAGCAAGTGACTCGGGTTAAGCAAATGCACTAAAGCCGAGAGGTGATTAGGCACCAGAGTGACTGTTCCCAGACCGGCATTTTCCTGTGGACGCCCCCGAGACACCGGTTCTTCCCCCGGACTGAGCCTAGCGGCCGGCCAGAGACCAAGAGGTGGCCACCCAGCACTGGGGGGGGGGCCGCAGGGCCCTAGGATAGGCACCTGGCACTGGGGGCTGGCACGACAGCTGGCCAGGAATGAGAGCGTGCACCGGGAGGGACAGTCCTCTAGGGTCCTGGCTGCAGCGGCTTTCGTGTCTTCCAGGGACGACCGGGCCCCAAAGGAGCCCCTGGAGTGACCGGGCCGGCCGGAGAGCCGGTGAGTCCCTGGGCCCTCAGCTCCAGTCAGGAGTGTGGGGTCGGACAGGCCGGGCCCAAAGCCCGGCTCCTGAGCCTCAGTTGCCGCACCTGTGAAACAGGACTCCTCCAGGGGCCTGGAGGGGTCTGGGCAGAGGTGGAGGGCTGCCTGGGGGTCCCACAGGGCGCCCCCTCACCTGGAGGGTCTGAGCTGGGGCCCAGGGTACCTGGGGCCACAGAGCTGTGAGGCCAGTGGGGGGTCCGCTGGTTCAGGAGGACAAGTCAGTGCAGAGGGATGGGAGGGGTCCACCCGAGCGGGCGACTCGGGGGCAGCAGGGCTGGGGAGGACGGGGCGTTGGGGGCTGCCCATCAGGCCTCAGGCCCTCGTCTGTCCCCAGGGCATGCCGGGCAAGGACGGCCGGAACGGCGTGCCGGGACTGGATGGTGAGAAGGTTAGTACCCGCCAGTGGCCTGCAGAGGAGGCATCTGCGGGGGCCCTGCCCCTGCCCAGGGCATCAGCACCCCTCACCCCTCACCCCTCACCCCCGAATCTCCCGCAGGGAGAGGCTGGTCGCCATGGTGCCCCAGGAGAGAAGGGTCCCAATGGGCTGCCGGTGAGTGTGGGGCCCCAGGGGGGCCTGGGATCGGGCAGGGCCAGGGTCCAGGCTCCCAGGACAGGCCATCTGCTGTGGGTGCCTGACGGGGGCTCCCCAGAAAGGAGCCCCATGCCCATTGGGGGTGCTCTGCCTCTGGCCCGCGTGTTCTCCCCCGGACTCGGACTCGGCAGCTCTGACCCCTGACCTCTGCCCTTTGCCCTGCAGGGCCTCCCTGGAAGAGCAGGGTCCAAGGGTGAGAAAGGAGAACTGGTAGGTGGCTTCTTTCGCGGGGAAGGGGAGGCCAGCCCAGGGCCCTGCACGGAGTGGCAGGTGCTCAGGGCTCCCGTCCCGCACAGGGCAGAGCCGGAGAGCTGGGCGAGGCGGGCCCCTTGGGAGAGCCCGGCATCCCGGTGAGTGTCCCCGTCCTCGCCCCTCCCCACCCTGGGGCACGCACCCTGCTGACACCCTCCCCCTCTGCGTAGGGCGATGTAGGCATGCCCGGGCAGCGCGGCGAGGCGGGCCACAGGGGCTCAGCGGTGAGTGGGAAGCGAGCGAGGGCAGGGGATGGGCGTGGACCCAGCTTCCGTTGGACCAGGCAGCGCTGGGGGGCGCATCGATGGGCTGAGTGCATGAAACCCGGGGTAGTGGCGGCCGAGCCTGCCCTTCTGCTCTTGAGACCCGTGTACCGAGGGGACAGAGCTGCCACCCAGCCTCGAACCCGCAGCTGCGCTGGGAGCTCCCCAAAGCCATGTGTCTGCCTCGGGTGGAGGACGATGGGCTGCGGCCCCTGGCACCCAGTTGGCTGGTGCATGAGAGCCCAGAGTGCGCCTGACCTGGCCTCCAGGACCCCCACTACCCCCCCGGGACACCCCCCACTACCCCACGGGACACCCCCCACCTCAGGCCTGGACTGCTAGGCCAGGTGGCCGGGGACAGGCTCCTGCATCTGCCCTGCCCCCGGGGAGGCGGGACTGAACTCACACTACCCTTCTGACTCTCAGGGGGCTCTCGGCCCACAAGGCCCTCCCGGGAACCCCGGCATCCGAGGCTTCCAGGTGGGTCAGGTTTGGTCTGGGGCCCCAGTCTGGGCCGTGAGCCCAGGTGGGCCAGCTGGGCAGGGAGGGGTCCCTGTGTGGCTCCCTCGTGGGTGCTGACCAGTGGCCTTTGTCTGCAGGGCTCGAAGGGCAGCATTGGAGACCCCGGGCTGCCAGGCGCCCAGGGCCTCCGCGGAGGTGTGGGCGACCGGGTGAGTGGCCAGCATGGCTGTCCCGAGGGTCCCAGGGTTACATGGCTTTGAAATGAGCCTGAAAACCCCGTCACTCTGTACCTGTGATCATCACTGCACCTAACTTTTCTAGCCTTTCTTAGTGGTCTCCTGACAGCCAGGGACCTAGGCTTGCAGTGGGGTCCCTGCCGTCCATGATGGCGGGGGTGCAGAGGTCCCTGGTGCGCCGCATCCTCAAGGCCACCCCTGCCCCAGACACTGGAGCTGCTTCCTCTTCCAGTGGCACTGGGGGGACAGCAGGCGCTCCCCTCAGCCTCTGGGGGGATGTTCCAGGGTCAGGAGGTCCAGCCACGGCAGGGCCTCGGGGGCGAGAAGGGGGCTGGCCACTGATTCCCTGCCGTGCCCTCCCTGCACCTGGGCCCCTCGGGCTGTTCTCACGCTGCTGTCTCAGCAAATGGACCACCCCTGTGTCCGGCCACAGCCCTCAGCTCCGGACCCTCTGACTCAGCAATCCCGTCATTGCGACGGCAGCCCAGGGGTGCATGGGCGAGGGGCCCCGTGCCGCTCCTGGTGATACAAAGACGCAACCCAATCAGAGACGCCTGTCAGTCGTGCGACGCTACAGAGCCCCTAGGAGACAGGCGGTTCCACGAGATCCTCGGACACTGAGGGGACGGGCACAGGGAGGGGTCGTGCATCGGGCCTGGCCGGGGGCCAAGCGTCCAGGGAGGGCACACACGCCTTCAGTCTTCGGTTCCGACCCCTGACACTGAGCCTTCCCTCCGCACAGGGCCCAGAAGGAGCCACAGGCCCTAAGGGCGACCAGGTGAACCACGGGGGGCGGCAGGGGCTGGGGAGGGGTGGGGAGGACCTCTCTGACCACTCTGGGCATCGGCCACTCGCTTCTCACTTCCCTCCTCCACCTTTGTCCTTGGCTCTCACCTGCTCCCAGCTCCCTCCCAGAGGAGGGAGGTGGGAACACCGGCTGCTCTTTGGGGGGAGCACGCCCCCTGCTGGCCTGGGCCGGCAACAGGGGCGGGTCCAGGATCCGCCTGCCCCTCCAGGTGTCCAAGGCCCTCTCTACCGGGGGTGAGGACCTGGGGCAGCCTGAGTCGGGCTGGCCCTCTCCTGGGAAGAGAGGCCGTTTGGGTCGACAGCTGATGCTGGCAGGGGTCTGGGAACAGTGCGGACGGTCCCTTTAATTTTGGGGTGTCATTTCAGGGCATTGCTGGTTCCGACGGTCTTCCCGGGGACAAAGGCGAGCCGGTGAGTGTGATTGTGCCACTGACCTCGCTGCTGGAACAGGGGGGTGTAGGCCGGCCGGGTTTGGGGACCGCCCCAGGTGGAGAAGGGCTGCCTGCAGGCCCTGGAGGGAGACAGCTGTGCAGAGTCACGTGTGGGCAGCGGTGCAGCGGTTTCAGGGACGGTCTGACTTTGGCCAGTCCCTTGGCAACTGCTTCCCACCATGTAACAACGCGAGTCACCACAATGCTCCGCCTCTCTCTGCAGGGACCCAGTGGCCCTGTCGGATCCAAAGGAGAGGTGAGTGGCTGCCCAGTGGTCGGGTGACAAGCTGCAAAGGAGCCCACTGGCCTCCTGGGCCACCTAGTTTGCTGTCCCCCCAGCCCGGCAGTCGAGGGGAGCTGGGCCCGAAAGGCATCCAGGGTCCCAACGGCACGAGTGGCGTAGACGGTGTCCCGGGCCCCCCCGGGCTCGTGGGCATCCAGGGCGTCCAAGGCCTGCCTGGCATCACTGGGAAGCCCGGAGTCCCGGTATGTTTCTCCCTTTGGAGCGTGAGTGGGGGCCTCGGAGGGGACCGGCATGCAACCGCGTGCTGACAGACTCTGGGCTGAATTTCAGGGGAAGGAAGCCAGTGAGCAGCACATCAGGGAGCTGTGTGGGGGCATGATCAGCGGTGAGCGCTCCCTCCCCAGCCCCGCCCACCCGCCTCCGCACTCCCGGGCGCAGCTCGGCTGCCCGCACACGGGGCTGTCCTAGTCCTGCTAAACAGAATAGGTACCAGGGACATGAAATTGTGCCCCTCTGGCTTTAGTGGGCCAAGTGGACATTTCTGGCCATTCTGAGGACACTTTTCAGAAGCTCCAAAAAATCAAGAGTCCCCTGCCCAGCCTGATTCACTTCTGGGCACTCGGAGAACGGACAGTACTTGTCACGAGCCCCCAAGCCACTAAAGCCATTCTCGGTCAACAAACTCCCTTCTGAAAGGGAGACCCTCCCCAGATGACTGTGTGCCTCTGTTTCCAAAGAACAAATCGCACAGCTGGCTGCTCACCTGCGGAAGCCGTTGGCGCCGGGAGCCACGGGTCGGCCTGGACCTGCAGGACCCCCGGGCCCGCCCGGGCCCCCAGGTTCCATTGGTCACCCTGGAGCTCGGGGACCTCCCGGATATCGTGGTCCCACCGGAGAGCTGGGAGACCCGGGACCCAGAGGTGAGTCCAGGCAGCCCCACCACAGCCATTCCAGGAACCCCACACGTTCTGCATCCCGCAAAGGAGTTGTCCCCTCCGCGGGGACAAGAGAGGGAGGGGACCCTGGCCTTGCCTGTGTCCCCCACGCGGGCGCCCGGACCTCTGGCTTTTGCTGGGAGCCACCTATGGCCCAGCACAGCCACATCCGTACCTGCCCTGCAGGCTGGCCCCACGCTGTTTAAAAGGCGCTGTTTTCCCCCAAACCACCAGAACTGCACTTGGCAGAGAGTACGCATGGCCCCTTTCCAGAAACACAAAATCCACCTGCAAAGAACTAGGGAAGGCAACTCAGAAACGAGGTGGAGTCCCAGGCATGTGCCGCGGAGAAGCCCACGTGGGGGCCTGCCACACAGCCATCGGGGGTGCAGGGGCCATGCGTGCCAGACCGTGCCGGACACGTGCCGGACACGAGCCTTTCCCACAGTGGCCTTTAGCACTTAGTTCACCATAAGACGCATGTGTGGCCGGCAACCCAGGGCACCCAGCCCCGCGGCCCAAATGAAGAATTTAAAGCTCGTGATTCCCACTTGCTCCGACCTGCTGGCCACACAACTTGGCTCTAAGCACCCTCAGGTGTCGGACGGTTCAGCATTAGAGGCAGACGGGGCCAGGGCGTTTCCCGAGAGCAAAGCGGAGCTGGCCGGTCAGCGCCAGGCCGACAGCCCCGCTAACCTGGCTTTCTGTCCACATGTCCCCACAGCAACAAGAGGCCTCCCTCACCGCGGGGGCTGGGATCACGCGGCTGGGGGACATTTGAAAACACTGAAACTTGGGGGCTCCAAACCACACTGAAAGTGGGCCCTGAACACAGCCAGAGCGCGGCGGCAAGTGGCCGCTGGGACACCGGGTGGCCACACAGCTGGCTTCCCCATGTCCTGAGTGGGGTCCCAGACACTGGGTGGCTCTAAACTCCCCCTTCTGCCAAATCCCTCCGACAGGAAATCCGGGGGACAGAGGAGACAAGGGCGCAGCTGGCGCAGGTCTGGACGGGCCCGACGGAGACCAGGGGCTGCCAGGTACAAGGCCACTGCCATCACCCGCGTTGGTCTCCCGGCACCTTTTCTGAGCCCTGGAGCTTCCCCCAGCGCAGCACCCTTGGCAGTGGGGTGGGTGGGCCTTTGACCCGCTAGCAGATCCGGTTCCGTGCGGTCTCACTACCGCCATCTAGTGTCCACGTCAGTTAAGTTCTAACAGAACCTTCTAACTGACCCTGTTTACCTTTCACTCTCACCTAAGCACTGTCCCCAGCGAAGGCCCGCCCTGCCACGCCCCACCCCAACTTCTGGGGGCAGGACTTTCCCTAAACTGACACCCCCAGTCTCCTCCCTGGCTCCTCCCCTGCTGACACGCCTCAGCCTGCACCCCGCTCGGGTCAGGTGTGGTGGATGGTCCCAGCCACCACCGTTCTCACCCTGTCTGCCCTGGGCTTCCCCGGCCCCACCCCGGGCCCCCTCCTGGGTTAAGAGACAGGCCAGTATGCAGCAGGGCGGTGCAGCCGTGAGCCCACCGCCCACAGGTGTCCTGCGTCCACACTCAGCTCCCTCATCTGTCTCAAGGGCCCCAAGGTGTGCCTGGCGTCGGCAAAGATGGCCAAGACGGGGCCCATGGTGAGCCTGGGCCGCCCGGAGACCCCGGCCTCCCCGGCGCTGTCGGTGCCCAAGGGACCCCCGGCATCTGTGACACCTCAGCCTGCCAAGGAGCTGTGATGGCTGGGGGCGGGGAGAAGTCCGGGCCCAGAAGCTCTTGAAGCACAACAGGCAGTGAGAGCGATGCCCACTGAAGCGGTGGGCTCTGGGGGGCGGGGCTCAGCAGCACCCAGTGTTGACATCCAGCTCGGCCTCGCTGGCTCACCCCCGCTGGCTCACTCCCAAGCCCCTCCCCCTGCCCCCCCACATCCTCAGCGGCAGCACCTGGACACCCGTGCCCGAGTGTCCTTCCCCAGGTGCCGGGAAGGCGGTCTCCCTGTGTGTTCACAGCGGCCTAGCCCGTGGGGACCTCAAACCTGGACAGGGGCACCGCGCGGCAGCGCCAGGAGGGCCTGGCGCACACCAAGCGGGCACAAGGGCCGGAGAGAAAGCTCAGCACCACACGGTGCTGGCACAATACCAGGTGCAGCCACAGTAAAATGGTAACTTGGACCCCAGAGTGACAGCGCCCGCAGGGCAATGACAGGGGTAAAGGGCTCCTACCGGGCAATGCCCTCCGCGCCAGTCCACCCGCTCCTGCCTGTGTGGACGCCACGCCGCCTCCGGCCCGCGGCGTCCGTGGGAGCCGACTCGGTGCTGCACTTACCCTGTCGGTGTCACCTGCTGTCCTGAATAAAGCCACTCGTTTGAAAACCCGGTTCTGAACACTATAGTTTATTACACAGAAAATAATGTCTCTCAGCGTGGAGGCGAGGTCGGCAAAGCGACCCCTGCCCCCAAAAGCATCTCTTCTATGGACGAGAGGGGCCCGAGGGGCGTGCTGGGCGCCTCCGGCCGAGGCGGAACGCAGCCGCGCTCCACAGCCAGGGCGTGCAGCCGGAGGTCGTTACAAGGGGAGGCGATAAACAAATGAAATAAATTTCCAACTACTTCTAGTGAAGAACATTTTGACTTGTTCCAATTGCTAAGGGGGCATATTTAAATGTCAATAAAATAAGTAAAAAGCGGTGTGCCTGGTAAGACTAAAGAAATTATAAAGGATGTTAATTTTTGAAGTTATCATGTTACGAAAACATGATGGAATCAGACGGATAATTGAAACAGTACTTACTAATGTCAGGGTGTCTTCACCCTGAATGGTCTAAGAGGACACTGGTGGACAGATGCTCTGTTTCAGATCAATATTTGTAGAGACTGTGCTTTCGGAGTCCCCCCTGGAGTCCCACTGGAGTCGCGTTCGGAGTTGGCGTCGGCGTGAGCCCCAGGGCTGCAGGCGTGCGGGGCCGGGAGGGCCGAGTGCTTCCCAGGAACCAGCGTCCCCACGGGTCACTTGATCTCCATGGCGGGGCTGCTCTGCAGACTCTCCTGCGTGGGACACGCCACTAGGGAGTCCGGTCTGGTCAGCTTTAGCCTCCTGCCGGTTTTACCGCAAAACACACTCTCAAACTCCTGCGGACGAGAAAAGGGCGCCGACTCAGACGGAGCACAGCCGCCTTCGCGCCCAGGAGGCTGAGGTTCAGAGCCGAGCCACTTCCAATCACAGGGATGTCGGGGTGCCACCTGCACACTCGTGGCGCATCTGTCAGGGTCACCGGACAGAACCAGACACCAAACATTTCTGTCGCACGGCCACAGTGCCGTGGTTCGCACTTGGTTTGCCAACAGCTCCTCGAGGGCCTGGCCAGACTGCAAAGCCGTCTCCTATTCCACTGACTATTTTTTAGAGAGAGAAGCACTGATTGGTTGCCCCACTTACTGAAGCATTCATTGGTTGATTCTCCCATGTGCCTTAACGGGGGGATTGAACCCACAACGTTGGTCTATTAGGATGATGCTCTAACCACCTGACCTATCTGACCAGGGCAGAATTTGCCTTTTAAAATAGCTAAACCGAAGTCAAAAGCAAAACCACCATTTCTCAGACAGAGGAGTCCAAGCAGAGATCTTCGAAGCTGTCTTCACATGTGAGGCTGGCCCCGGGGGCGCCTGAACTTCCAGGCCAGAGGGGTCACCCTGCAGCTCCGCCTGCACTCTCCCGGCCTGGGGGACCCAGTCACGGGGAGCTGGGGGGGCTGTGAGGCAGGGCCGCGTTCTCATTCACTTCTCTCAACTAGCATCTGCTTTCAACAAAACATCAGGGGAAAAGCTGAGTTTTAAGGGGGTTTCACAATTTATCAAAACACCTCAAACCCTAGCTAGTGTTGCTCAGTGGATTGAGCACTGGCCTGCAAACCAAAGGGTTCAATTCCCAGTCAGGGCACACACCTGGGCTGCAGGTGGGGTCCCCAGTAAGGGGCACACGATAGGCGACCACGCAGATGTTTCCCTCCTTTCTGTTTTCCTCCCTTCCCCTCTCCATAAAAGTACGGAAAAATATGTGGCCAGGCAGGGCCACAGCCATGATGACGGGATCTTCAGGGCGCGCAGGCAGCTGCATGAGGCCGGCGATGTGCGCAGGCATCCGCTGTGCCGTGGGCTCATTAGAGGAAGGACGCCAGGCACTGACTCGCCGACAAGGACCTGCCGGCAGCCACAGCTGGTGCAGAACGTCTGGTGGGCTCTGCCCACCATAGTTTCTCCCTTTGGGGGGGGCTCCAGCCAGAAGCCGGAGCACTCCCTGATCCCCCTCCGGCACCCCACGTCCCCGAGAGCGTGGCCCCTGGCTCCCCGGCAGCACCCCACAGTCTAGGCACTCGGCTCTGCCGCCCCAGCCGGGGGCTTCACTGTCACTCCTGCCCCAGCCTCTCTTCCCTGGAGCCCCGGCTCCCCACACAGCAAGGTGCCCACAAGACCAAGCAGACTGGGCCACTCCGGCCTGACCCTGCAGGCCCACCGCCACAGGGCTGCACGGCCGTGTTGCCTCCTTGAGACACTGGGGACAGCCGCCCACAGGCCAGTGGAGTCTCTGCCTCGTTCAAAGTGCTGGGTTGGCCAAAAAGCCCATTTAGTTTTTTCAGCAAAATAAAAGACATCTTTCACTTTCACTGGGAACTACTGATTTGCACATTCTGAGTGAGGCGGCCCTCTCCCACGTGGCGTAACGTTGATATTCTCAAATGGTGTCTCGACTGGATCGCTGTCAGCTGCAGCTGGTCTGTGCAACCACGCAGCACCGTCCAGCGACAGACTTCGAAAACCACCTCCGGCACGTCCGGTCAGTCACAGCAAGCACCTTCTCCCCCCGCTGCACAAAGCCTCATGCATTACAGTGCGCTTTTACCTTTGTTGGAATAACAAAGGCTAATATGCTGAAAACGTCACTTATTTTTTTCCAACTTCAACATTACATGGCTAAAACCCTGGCTGGTGCAGCTCAGTGGATCGAGCACCAGCCTGTGAACCAAGAAGTTGCTGGTTTGATTCCCGGTCAGGGCACATGCCCGGCCTGCAGGCCAGGTCCCCAGATGGGGGGCGAGAGGCAACCAGGGGACGTGTGTCTCGCCCATTGATGTTTCTCTCCCTCTCTTTCGCTCTCCCCCCTAAGAATAAATAAATAAAAAGCTTTTAAAAAGTGAAAATAAAAGAATGGCTACACAACAGCTCACCAATTTTGATAAGTTTTTTTTAACTGCACACTGATTTGACAGCTGTCACAACACAACCTAACAAAACTGTTCCAAATGAAGTCAGAGACAACTGGGCGCCCCTGGGGCTGACGAGCGAGCTCTGTGGCCGGCCCAGCGGGGCTGCGCGGAAGCCTGGCTGAGCAGGAAAGGTCTGCGGAGCAAAACGAGCACCAAAGTCACCCGGGCGAACCACTGCGGTCTCACGCGTCGCAGCGGGAAAACAAAACATTCGGGCGGGTAAGAGGGGGAGTCACGGACAAAGCGTGAAGCCCGTGTGCGTGGGGGCTGACGACTTCCTGACCCCCAACGCTCACGCACCTCCCTGCAGCCCGCTCTGGGTGGGCCCCAGGGTGCAGCACAGAAGGAAGGGCAAGTTCAATGGAACCGAATTTCGGAAACATTCCGGAAGGAAAACATCCGTGAAACAGGACGCCCATCAGCTATTAATCTATTTCAACTTAGTGTGGGGGACACATATGTGTGTGTGTGACTGTGTGTGTACACACACAGGTAAGGGTTTTGTTGCTGTAATGCCTTCCTTGTACTTGAATGAGTTGTATCAATAGTTTTCTAACAGGTACAACACAGAGGCAAACATTATATCACTTACAAAATGTAACGGCTTTGCTGTGCAGAGGTAACCAGCCCACCTGTACCAAATGGTAAAGAGTGACTAACTGCAGACACAGTGGCCGTTGAAGGAAGCCTGACCTACGTGCTGCCCGGAGACGCAAGGACACAAGGAAAGCCACTCGGCGGGGGCACAGACCGGGACAGGCACCTGGACCTCGGGCACTTGGAGGCGGCAGGTGCTGTGGAAAACGGCTCGCTCCGCCCTCCGACCCCACGACAGCCCACAGGGGGCGCAGGCTCTGGTCCACAAAGCCTCATTACCTGCCACCCAGACCCCCAGCCCTGCGGCTAGCGCCTGAGCTGAGGTCCCCAAGCCGGGGTCCCCAGTACCACCTCCGCTCTCCCCTCTGAACCAGGGGTGGGGCAGGCAGGACCCACATGGAACAGCCGGTCCAATGGGAGCCAGGCCGCGCTCTCACTGGCGGCACGAGGAGCCGAGGTGCTCGGACCCCAGGGCCTAAGTCACCCACAGGCACCCAGACCACGCAAGTGTCTCTCTCCTGCCCTCTGATCTCCAGACCATCTACTTGACATTTATCTGCCTTTTTTTTGGGGGGAGGGGTCTATTCCCGCTTCACCCCTTTGGGTTTTCTGAGTACAAAACCAAAGATCTCCCCCTCCAGGTCGCTAAAGCCCCTTCATGCCCAGCACCACCCACTGCATACAGCAGGCACTCAACCTGACACGACCCTTCACCTGAGTCATTGTCACTCTGCCTCCAAGTGAACAAATCCAGGCTGTGGCCACCATGTTCACCACGACAAGCCCTGTCGCCAGTGCGCAGAGCCGTGCTCACAGCGAACATCAGGTTCCGGGACTCGAGGGACAGTTTGGGACCTTTGGGGAAGGAGCCGGAGCCCCGGCCCGCAGACGTACCTTCTTCAGAGAGTCACCGTGCCTCTCCTGGATGTACTTCAGGAACGCGGTGGTCCACTGCAGGGTCGTGGCCTTGTCCGTCTCGGCGTTGCAGAACGGGACCAAGAGGTTCAGCTCATCACAACAAATGCGGATCCTGCGCCTGCGCATGACGAGGCCGATGAGCTCTGTGTGAGAGCCGCTGCCTGAGAGCTCCCCCCCCTTCGATTCTACACAGAACAGCGCAATCAAATCTACAGATAGAGCGACTTAAATGTAACAGTTTCAGTCTCCTCCGTCCCCAACATTCTCAAAAGAACCGGGACACACTGGTGACAAAGGTGCGGGGGATCTGGCCAGGGAGTAAACCTGCCCATCGGGAAGCACTGCCCAGGAGGCTGGCCCGCTGGCCTCTGGGAACTTGGACTGCGGGGGCGGGGGACCCCACCGTTGGTTAAGTGGGGCTCCCAGTGCCTAAGCGGTTTGCACAAGCGGTTTGCACAAGCAACACAGTCTGTGTGAAGTACGGGCTTTCCTTCTGTGTCAGCCGCCTGGCCATGTGCCCACAGGGGACGCCCACAGGACTGACCCCGACACAGTCCCCGGCACTGAGCCTGCTGGCAGCAGTCCCCGTGTCCCAGACCTCGGGGCTGGGGGGAAGTGCCCCTGAGGGACTCCCCTGGGTGGGGGCCCTGGTCCCCCCCCACGCCCCGGGAGCCTTTGCCAATCTCGTAGCATCTTTTCTCTGTAATGAGTCAAAGCCATGAGCCCTCCTCACCCACCAGGCGGGTCTGGGGAGTACCCAGCAGGGCCCAGCCCGTGTCCCCTCCTCCTGCCGACGTTTCTCCCTCTGAACACAGTCGCAGCTGCTCTTGTCTACGCAACAGGGCGCCCACCACTTCTAACGCACGTGCACCTCACCTTCTGTCCCTCTCCATGCGGTTGTGCCTCTCCCTGCGCTGCGACCTGCCACCCGGGGCGCTTGGAGCCTGCTCCCCGGGGTGGGGCTGCGACGGCTCCGTGGATGTGGGCTGCCAGGGGCCCGGCGCCGCAGGAGCGCCGTCCCCCACGTTCTGAATCTCTCCCAGGGCTCTTCGCTCCACACTGGCGTCCAGCTGCCGCACCCTACTCCGATTCCTCTTATTCATTGCTTGTTTGCACAGCGCTTCTTCTTTGCAAAAGAAAAAAACACAGGTACTTTAATTCTTTATTTTCCTTAACTGATCTACCTTAAAGCTAACATGTTTGGCATCTTCAATCCAAGACATAAACATTAGTGAGTAAGGAGCAGAGACCCGCAGAACACGAGCTGGACCGAGTGGCCGGTCTGTGTGTCCAAACGCCAAACAGCACAAACCCAGAACCACACTGCGACTCGCTGAGTGTTGCCAACAATCTCGTCAAAGCCACCTCACTAATTGACAGGCGTTAACTGTCCTCTATGAACAGAAAAAGCAAGAAGTTGCTTGATTTTTCTGATGTGCAAAGTGGGGGGAAAACTGGAATTCTAACATGACAACTGTCGTTCTACCTGCAGTTCTCAGAAGAGGACAACAGCTAAGTGGCTCAGGATTCAATACCCTGTCCCCTAACAAGCGAGTCTCCTCACGAGGGGGGATCACATCATCGCCCCGGCCCGGGCTAAAGAAAGACGTCAACTCCACACCAAACACGCCAGCAGACGTCTGACTGCTGTGCGGGGGGCCACATCCCCGAGAAGCCACACAAGGCCACGTCTGAAAGTCCCTCAGCACAGTTCTGCCTGTGGACACTCCCCAAGGGGGACAGACAGGTCCACAGGCACAGGTCAAATTTTACCGTCTGCCGCGCAGTCAGCACAGGGACATTTTAATGTCACCCTCACACCCAACAAAGGTCAACATATGTTTCTGCAGAAAGTGTCAGAAAAACAAGGGAAAACTAATTGTCGCCACAGGAGAAAGCAGCAGCCTGCACCCCACGCTGTGTTCACCGGCTCTCGGAGAAGCTCGGGGTGAGCCGTGCAGTCGTGGTGGGCCGTGGTGGGCCACTCAGTGGACGTGAAAGACGGTATGTCTTCAGGGGGAGAGGGACTGAGCGTGATGGTCTGTCTCCGAAACACCCACATCACGCTACCTCCGCTCACTGCCGACCCAGGCCTGGGTCCATCTGCAGGTTGGCTCCCAAAGCTTCCAACAGACTGCAGGCCCCCGCCTCACCCAAGAGGTACAAAAGAAGAGGGAAAAAACCTATGTGCCTTGATGGCCTGAAGGTCACTGGAAATTTATGTAAATCTCTTAAGAGTTTTTGTGTTCGCATGTTACTATTAAGAAAAGGCAGCCCTGAACTCCCTGTGACTGTAACTCTGTGATTCAGGAGCATGCTCCAAGTGAGGTGGCAGGGAGTGGGCAGGAATGGAAGGAGCCCCGAGATGAGGTAAGAGTCACTTCCAAGACCATTCACCTTTATAAACCACCCGCCTCTCCCCACAGGCCCCAAGGACTAGAGGGCAAAGGTCAGGCAGCAGCAGAAGGACCCCCCCCCCCCCCACTGGGTGGCTTACCTCCCACTCTAACCCAAACCTGCTCGGGCAAAGCTTTGTTTCTGCCACCCAAAGTCTGCTTGGCGGGCTCGCTCTCTTGTTGGAAACAGAAGGAAAACGCTCTGGGCGGTCCGATGTCCTGATGCTTGGCAGCCTCGAGTACAGGACAGGAGTTACTAGAACTCTGGAAAAGACAAAGCAAGGGAACTATGTTGATGTGTGGTTTCTTTCTTGCACAAATAAAATGCACTCAGCAGAAGTGACATCAAAGCCATTCACAGGCCAGAGAAAGAGCTTTGTGCACCGAGGACTTCTAAAAGTCCCCAAATCCATATGTGGTCTCAATTTTAAAACAAGCTCAACCTGGCTGGTGTGGCTCAGTGGATCGAGCACCAGCCTGCAAACCAAAGGCTCGCCAGTTTGGTTCCCAGTCAGGGCACAGGCCTGGGTTGCAGGCCAGGTCCCTAGTAGGGGGCGGGCTAGAGGCAACCACACACTGATATTTCACTCCTCTTTCTCCTCCCCTTTCCCTCTCTCTAAAAATAAATAAGTAAAATCTTAAAATAAAGGTAAAATAAAGCCCTGGTGTAGCTCAGTGGATTGAGCACGGGCCTGCAAACCAAAAAAGTGTTGGATTCCCCATCAGGGCACATGCCTGGGTTGCAGGCCAGTTCCCAGCAGGGGCCAGTTCCCAGCAGGGGATGCACCAGAAGCAACCACACATTGATGTTTCTCTCCTTCTCCCCTTCCCTTCCCTTCTAAAAATAAATAAATAAAAATTTAAAAAATAAAAGTAAAGTAAAATAAGCTCCACGGAAGGGAAAGGCCTCTGGGCCGCAGGTAGCAGAGACCCCCGCTTTGCGAACCTGTGTCTGTGAGAGGCCGGCGCCTGCCGCAGAGGAACAGGCGTTGGCCGTGAACAGGGGGTAGGTGAGCTGCAGTGTGGTGGCAGCACCCGCCGTCTTATTTTTCACTAACGTTGTGCATTTGTTTTGCTGTTGATGAAGAGGAACGTTCACTAACTCTGACGGGTGTCGGATAAGAGTCACCAAACTGCCAAGACAAAAGAAAGCCCAGAAACACGTGAAGATGTGGTGGTGGGAACGCTTCCTGACACGCGGCCCCACCCACCATCAGTCCCTTGCTAAGGACAACACGGCCTATTCCAGACAGCAACGCCCCCATCAGGACAACCTCCGCAAAGCGACTGCCCGCAGGTGTAGGGCCAGCTCCCGCCTTCTCCCTGCCAGAGGGAGGGGCTGTGTGTCCTCTCTCCTGGTCTCGCCCTTGACCCCACACTCCTCTGAGAGCCAGCCTCCAAAGTCACGACAGTGCATAACGTGGGGGGAGACTTCAGGGTGGGGGGGTGGGTGGAAAGCTGAGGGGTCACTGCACTGCCCCATCGCTGCAGGGGAAGCTGCTTGTTCCACTCAGAGCCTTGCTCGCCGTGCATCTCCCGCACGCAGACCGGAGGGCCTGCTTCCTGGGGGATGGCAGTCAGAGGGGAGCCCGCGGCCCTGCACAGGACCCCCAGCCTCCCTCCACACCCCGACCCCGCGGGGCCAGCCCTCCGCCCCCGGGCACCTACTTGTTGAGCGCCACGCCGGGCTCAGGAGGCTCTGCGCCGCGCGGGGCGGGCGGGGGCTCGGCGGGGATGCTGTTGAAGCGGTCCTCCAGGCGGACGCGCACCGCCGATTTGGCCCGCGCCTCGGGGGCGCCCTCCGCGGCCGACGTGTTCTCCTTGCCGGTGGCGTCGGGCGCCTTGGGCCGCGCTGCGCCCGGGCCGTCGGCGCCCGGCGTCTTCTCGGCGGCGGCGGGAGCAGGGGGCGCGCCCGCCTCGCTCAGCAACATCATGCGCAGCTCCTGGAAGTCGATGTGGCCCAGGCACGGGTTGGCGCCCGCGAAGCCGCCGTCGGCCAGCGCGGGCGGACACAGCAGTGGGTACACGGGCGCCGCGCCGCCCGCCGCCGCGCCCCCCGCCGCCGCCGCGCCCCCGGCCGCCGCGCCGCCCGCCGCCAGGAAGGCCGAGTTGAGGCGCGTCTCGAGCTCGCCCTCGGCCGCCGCCTCCATGTGCGAATAGAGGATGTGCTGCAGCTGCGTGTACTCGACCTCTGTCATCTCCACCAGGCTCAGGTCGGTGGTCGTGAAGCTCAGCCCCGTCTCGCCCAGCGCCGCGTCCGCGCCCTCGGGGCCCGCCGGCCCGCCCGCCTGCGCCTGCGGCGGCTCCCGCGGCCCGGGGCCCGACATGCCGGCGCCAACGGCGGGGGGCGCGCGGCGGGCAGGCCGGCGACAGACCCGCTCGGGCGGACGGCGCGCCGGAAACCGCCGGCCCAGCGCGCCTGCGCGGCCACGCCCCCAACGGCAGCCCCTCCCCCTGCGCGCCCCTTGCCCGCAGGCCCTGCCCTCCAACCGCCCGCCCCTCGCCCGCGGCGGTCGGACCCGGGCTGCGCGCGCACGCGGGGGTGAGGGGCGGGGCCGGGCTGCGCGGCGCCCACCTCCGCGGGCCAGAGCCCCTCCACGGCGGGTTCCCGGAGGTGCGTGGGGGGGCGCGCCGTCTGCGTGCGCCTCAGCAGTAGACAGGTGAAACGGGGTCCCGAGGCCAGGTGTGCCGGCTGGGAAGTCCGATCAATGCACACAGCCAGCAGCCCCCAGTTCCTCCCGGGGCTGCGCAGGGCGTGCAGCGATGCCCTCCGCGAATGCTGGCCGAGGAGCTCAACTGGAGCAGCTTGGCTGAGACAACGCCCCGTCCATTCCGCTCGTCCACCTGAGCGTGCTGTTCGGGGCCTGGCAGTGCTCACAGCGCCGTACAGTCAGTCGCCCCGAGAGAAAGAAGCCGGTGCCCGAGAGCACGGTCTCGCCTTTCCCACCCCCATTCCCCCGGCGGGCACTCACCTCCTTTCTGTCCCTGAAGGGTTGTCTATCCCTGCATCTCTCATCCTCTGTAAGCAATATCACAGAACAGGTGCCCTTTACTTTTGCGGCCTCAAAATAGCGACTGTATCCATTTCGCCACCGGCATACCCTGCTCGCCAGTGTGGTTGGGCTGTGTATTGGAACCTATGCTGAGAGGCTCCTGATGGAGGCTTTCTCCCAAGCAGGCTCTGCGCTGTCCCCGCTTAGACCCCGAACTCTGGACGCCACTCGTGTCCTTTCCAGTATCTTTTCTTTGAACAAACACAAGCTCATTCTATGTAGTATGTGACTTCCTAACTTGCTTTTCTTCACTCCCACTCAGTATGTCCCCAGGAGAGAAATGACGGACTGCCTGCTGGGTGAAAGAGACCAGGGCAGGGGTTAATAATTTAGGAAAAAATGAACTTAGAGCATTTTTTCACACCCAACATAAAAAATAGTTTTTGTTGATTGAAATACCGAGTTTAAAGAGCAAAATTATAAAACTGTCGCAGGTGGGCACAGGTAACCAGGTTCTTGGTGATTGCAAACATGAAAGTGAACTGAACGCACAGAGTTGATAGCAGAAAGAGTGAGAGCAGATTGATGAGGCGACTGTACACTCCGCAGAACATGGGAGCTGGTCACTTCTTAGCAGAGATGGACCTCAGGGCCTGGAGGGATTCTGTTCTTAAAGGGCGCATATGTCCTGGCTGGTTTTTGGCTGGGTTTTATTGTGTGAGTGAGTAGTTGTATTACTTTAAAGCTACTGTTCTCTGTACAATGAATGCTCAATAAATACTGTTGACCTAAAAAAAGCTACTGTGCATGTGGTCTCCCATGATTTTCCTTCACTGACTACCAGGGAAGGGGGTCCCACAGTGCTAATTTATCATAACAGTATTATAATGAAGCAGGAGCCATGTAGCATCTTCTGCACAGGTGCAGTCATGACTCACCGTGATTGAGCAATTTTCCAGAAAGTGGGGGTGACCGGTCCTAGAACAGGCTCTCTGTCCTGTATTGATGTTCTTTGTCTTAGCGCAAGGGCACTCTGCAGTTTCCTGCTTCCTGACCACCCCCTGCCTCAACTTCCCCCATGAGAGACATGGTTCTCAAAAATCTTTTTGGGGTTATTGAAGGACGAAGATCATCCTTCTGTAACTACTTCCAGCTTAGATGGGGCAGTCATCCCTGCCTATCGAGAACCAGGAAACTCTCGCCCTAGTCTATCTAGAGGCGAGTAGAGAGTAGTTAGTGGAAACAACAAGGACATATTCGTTTCGGACCCTCGTAGACAGGATTCCACCCAGAAGGCAGGAAACGAGCCTTCATGCAGAGGACCGGTGCCAACAGGAAGTTTACAAGAAGCGTGACTCTCCAGAACGACAGTGATGTTAGTCCAGCGTCATCAAAGGTCACTTACCCTTTACCACAGGGGTGTCAAACTCATTTTCCCTGGGGGCCACATCAGCCTCGTAGTGGCCTTCAAAGGGCCAAATGTAATTTTAGGACTCTGTAAATGTAACTACTCCTGAACAGTTAAGCGAGAGCTCGGCGCTGCCCCGGGTAGAAACAAGGTGGGGGGCCGGATTCAGCCCAAGGGCTTTGTGTTTGCCGCCTGTGTTTTAGGGCTTCCTCCTTCTGAACAGGAACCTGGGGCCCCCCAGCAGCTCCCCGGTGTGGTCTGGGCTTCGGGTCTCCAGCTGGTCCTGAGTCGGATCGGGATCGGCGGTAGCCTGCTTTCCCCTGGAAGTATGAACCCAACTACCAACCCCCCCAAATTTCACAGCTATGGCGGTACTCAGGACTACCTGGTAGGGAGGGTCCCTTCCACTCAGGGCTGAGTTGGTCTGCTGGCGATCCCTCCTTCCAGGTTTGAAGGGGTGCCCAGACCCCGGGCATCTGGCAGTGTGAAAGTGCCCTTTGGGGCTGGTGGGACTTTGTTTCCATGTCCCTGGAGAGTTTTCTGCACTTGCCCCCGAGTTTATTATACACTTACTGCTAGATGGCGCTCTATCACATATCCGACCTAGGGTTGGAAAAGGGCGGGCCATACGGCATTTCAAGTGGGCGGAGCTCAGTATTGGCCTTAGGGGAGCCCCTCCTTCTCAGAAGGGTTATAGGAAAAGCCTCAATGTACCCAGTGATGGTATCTATCAGGACTAGTAAGTGCTTATATCCTCTGCAAGGAGGCATTTTGGTACAACCGACCCGCCAGTCCTCTCCCAAGTAGGTCCCTCTTTGCTGAATAGGCTCTGTCAGCGGGAGCAGGGGTGGCTTTGCCCAGGGTTGTTGCAGGCACATGGAGTACAAGCCCAGTAGGTTTTCCTCACTGTCGTAGCCGTTCCCCTGCCTACGAGTAATTTACCAACCACGGACACTGAAGCATCCCTTCCGATGTGCAAGGACTCCTGCAAAGCCTTTAAGAATTTCCACCGGGCCCTGGCTCGTGTGGCTCAGTGGACTGGGCATCAGCCCAGGAACCAAAGGGTCCCGGTGCGATTCCCAGTTCAGGGCACAGGCCTGGGTCGCAGGCAGGTCAGGTCCCCAGTAGGTGGCAGCCACACACTGAGGTTTCTCTCCCTCTCTTTCTCCCTCCCTTCCCTGCTGCATAAAAGAAATAAATAAAATCTTCTTTTAAAAAAAGAAATGGGCCTTAAGTTTCCTTCGATCCTCATTATCTTGGCTGATTTGGAGGACAGTGGTCTGGAGTAAGGGGTGCGGACGGAGGAAGTGGCCCCGGTGTCAACAAGAAAGTCCGTTTTCTTACCTGCCACCTGCAGAGTCACTGGGCTCCCGGCAGAGACAGGAACATGAGTGTTCATTCCCTGGGGTCGACCCGTTCCCCGGCCACCCTCAGCCCTCGAGGGCGGCCATGGCCTTGGGTGATGCCGCCTCTCCCCTCTGGGAACAGGGCGGTCTACCTCCCAGTGCCAGGGGTCAGAGCTGACGTTCTTGCAGAGAGCACAGGTCCCCAAGGGGCCGAGGGCCCAGTGTCCGGGGCGCCGGCACCTACCGCAGGTCTGATCCTCCGGCCCTGACCCTCTCGAGGCGTCCCCGAGCCCCCTGACGGGGCTGCTTTTCACCAACAGCACCAGGAAAGGCCCGTGCGAGGAGCTTGGCCCGCCTCCCCCTCCTTTCCCTGGTTTCTCCCCTCCGAGTCCCTGTCATTCAGGACCGAGAAGGCCGTACCCGCGAGCTGCTCTAGGGGGGCCTGTGGGCCTGTTGTAATTTCCGAAGCTTCCGGCCACTATCAGGGGCAGACTGACTTATACAATGCTGTCCTGTCAAGATCCAACCCTCCAGGGATGATGGGTTCAAGTTTGTGTATTTTTGGAAGGCTTCTACTAGTCTGTTTCTGAAGAGCCGGGTTCTCTCGCTTGCCCTGGGTGATTTCCCTCATCTAATTTCCAGGTTTCTCGATGCTGTTTCTCGTTCCCGCCAGCAGGCACCCTGTCCCTGCACCCCTGTTCCAGATTCCCGCCTGAGCATTGCATCCCCTTCAGGATCCCGGTCCGGGGCGGCTTCGACGGCGGGCTGCTCCGTGCCGGGGTTCTGGGTGTGCGGCTGGTCTGCGTGTCCACCGGCCTCCTCCCAGGCCTGCCGATTCTGGTCTGGGGAACGGCAGGTGGTCAAATTCTGCACAAATCCCTCCTCAACATACAAGAGGCTAAAGTAAGAGTCTGAGAATCACACGAGAGACACGAGGGGCCCTCTGAAACTCTCCCCAGCCTGTCTTTACACTGTCGTAAGTCCGCCGTTGAGAAGGGGACGCGGACCCTCACAGCCCCTCGGGCGCCTCCCTAGGGGCAGGAGTGCGGGAGGGGCAGGGAGATAAGAAGGGCCACTCCCAGTGTGTCCTGGGGGCTGGGTTTTTCCTCAGCTCGTAGCTTTAGGTGGTCTGTAGCACAGGGTGGTGAAAAGGTCACTCCCTCTAAGGTAGGGGCAGAGACGCCCGCACTCTGGGGTCCCCTTAATCTCCCTCGAGAGACAGCTGGGGAACTAAGGAGGGGATCTCCTAACTGACCAACACTTCGACAGCAGGTTGTCGGGGTGGGGCTGGAGCAAAGCCGGGGAACCCGGTGCAGAGCCCTGAATGCCTGCACGTCAGGAATTCCGAGCCCTTTGCTTCCCCTCTGGCAGAACAGAGGAGACCGTGGGATAGCATTAGAACTCCTGCTCTGTTCTCACAGGGTGTGTCTCCGTCCCCTAACTTGCACTGGGGCCGAACAGCATTTCAAAAGAAAACTAATCTCTTCCCTTCTAAATGTTTCGGGTCAAATATGTCTCAATCGCTAAGAATGCACCCAGTGGCGATTTGAAAGGGATGGAGGGTGTGGTTGCCATCTGGACGTGAAAGGGAGGGAAGGAAAGAAGCCCAGAGAGAGACGTTCCTGTGCAATCTAGAGGCG